CACTTATCATACCTCTGAACCAATTTTAAAATACCCTCTTCATAAATCCTCACTTCAACTGAAGCCACCAAATCGTCTGTAATCAAAGAAGGGCGACCGGAGCGGTCCTCATCATGGGCGTTGTCACGGCCATCTTTGAATTGTCGTACCCACTTACGCACTTTGCTTTCACTCATAACAGTATCACCGTACACTTCACAAATCTGTCGATGAATTTCTGCAGCAGGCAGGTTCCTTGCTGACAAAAACTCGTATCACTGAGCGAACCTCACATGCGGAGGATGAGTTGATAGTCTTAAACATTTTTAAAGCACAGAACAGAACCGTACAGGTTAGCTACAGAGCGGAAACTGAGCACAGTTGTTCCCGAGGCATGCCGGTACACGACGCACGCACTCGTTGCAGTATGCACGCGAACTACTAGTGTCTACAACAAAACGGACCTTACTTAAAAAATACCCCTCGTACAATATTAACTGTATAACTAACTTATATGATGCAGCATTGAGCAATATACAATGAACAAAAAACTGTTGTTTATATAATGATTTTACATCAGTAACAAGAGTAGAGTCTTTCTTGCTGTAAAGCAGACTTCTCTTAAGGGCATAAGATCCCTTACTTTAGAGCAGTGGTTCTCAACCTGGGGTCCCCAGATGTTTTTGGCCTACAACTCCCAGAAATCCTAACAGCTGGTAAACTAGCTGGGATTTCTGGGAGTTGTAGGCCAAAAACATCTTGGGACCCCAGGTTGAGAACCACTGCTTTAGAGAAAGATACTTTTGAGTGGAGTTTCCAGTCCCTTGTTAGAGGATATCCACGTAGAGGATTTCCAGACCGGTTTCGATTAACGTCTTCCTCAGATGGAGAAATGTGAAGAATACAATGAAGTGGACATCAAGTTCTCCAAAATAATAGTTCTTCCTCGGGTGGATAAGAATACAATGAAACAGTGGATCTAAAGGGATATACACAGCTGGCTAGAACATGTCCCAAAAGGGATAAATATTTCCATATGTTGCTAACATGTAGGGCGTACACACGGCGTGCAAAGTAAGCATTTGCAGTATAGTTAATTTTGCCCAGAGGCGTTCTTGAGGTGTTCTTGGGGGAAAATAGACCTTGACATATGCGAGTTGTAGTTACTGGGATGTATAGTTCACCTACAATCAAAGAGCATTCTGAACTCTACCAATGATGGAATTGAACCAAATATGGTACACAGAACTCCCACGACAAACAGAAAATATATATCAGTGATTTGGGGGGGGGGGGGGGATACTGTTTGCTTACCCAAGGCCAACAGGTAGAAACTAGTATATAAAGTGAAGCAATTAAAGGGACCCAAACCAGGTAGAGCAAGTAATGAAAGTGTTAAAGAGCTATATTCTATAGTTTACAGGGACTTGGAGGGGCTCAAGACAATATAAAATCACAGAATACATTATAAACCAAGGTTAGCTCATATAGAGGAAATGTGTAACTGATCATGCGACTCTCATTTTGATTGATTTAGGATGTAGATGGTGTTAATATGGTCATTACAACTAGGCAGAATTTTTTCACCTGGTTAGACATTACCTGAGGATGAGTCTAGATCAATGTTTCTCAACCTGGGGGTCGGGACCCCTGGGGGGGTATGAGAAGGGGTCAGAGGGGTCGCCAAAGACCATCAGAAACCACAGTGTTTTCTGTTGGTCATGGATGTTCTGTGAGGAAAGTTTTGCCCAATTCTATCATTGGTGGAGTTCAGAATGCTCTTTGATTGTAGGTGAACTATAAATCCTAACAACTACAACTCCCAAATTTCAACATCTATTTTCCCCAAACTCCACTAGTGTTCACATTTGGGCATATCGAGTATTCGTGCCAAGTTTCGTCCAGATCCATCATTGTTTGAGTTCACAGTGTGCTCTGGATGTAGCACCTCTGGATGGACACACCTTCAAGAAATAAAGGATGACATGTTGGCAAAACAGAAACAAGTCAGATTTCATGGTGGGAATAATAATAATAATAATAATAATAATAATAATAATTATTATTATTATTATTATTATTATTATTATTATTATTATTATACCCTGCCAATTATCTCCCCTAGGGGACTCGGGGTGGCTTACAAGGGACAAGCCCAAGATTATAATTAAAACACACAAATAAAACACTTAAACTAATTAAAACATCAGATAAAACAAATACAACACAATTGAAAGCAATATAAAAACAGGCTGAAAGAAACATAGCTGAGGTACAGATTCAATGAGTGCAATACATTTTTACAGGAGCGCAGGAATGTGCAACAATACAGTAAACTGGGCAGGAAATACTGTCATAACACCTGTTGAGGTAGAAGGTATGCCAGTGTAAAGTGAGCTGCTTAATCAAATGCACACCGGAACATCCAGGTTTTTAGTTGACTTTGAAAGGAGGACAAGGTGGGAGCCTGTCTAATCTCCCTAGGGAGAGAGTTCCAGAGCCGGGGGGGCACCACCAAGAAGGCTCTCTCCCTTGTCCCCACCAACCGTACATGCAGGGACGGCTCAACCCATTACGCAAAGTAAACATTTTCAGTATAGTTTATTTTGCCCAGGGGCACTCTTGAGGCGCTCTTGGGGGAAAATAGACCTAGACATACGCGAGTTGTAGTTACTGGGATGTATGTTGTTGTTCATTCGTTCAGTCGTCTCCGACTCTTCGTGACCTCATGGACCAGCCCACGCCAGAGCTCCCTGTCGGCCGTCACCACCCCCAGCTCCTTCAAGGTCAGTCCAGTCACTTCAAAGATGCCATCCATCCATCTTGTCCTTGGTCGGCCCCTCTTCCTTTTGCCTTCCACTTTCCCCAGCATAATTGTCTTCTCTAGCTTTGCTGTCTCCTCATGATGTGGCCAAAGTACTTCAACTTTCTCTCTAATATGCTTCCTCCAATGAGCAGTCGGGCTTTATTTCCTGAAGTATGGACTGGTTGAATCTTCTCGCAGTCCAAGGCACTCTCAGAACTTTCCTCCAGCACCACAGTTCAAAAGCATCTATCTTCCTTCGCTCAACCTTCCCTATGGTCCAGCTCTCACATCTGTAGGTGACTACGGGGAATACAACTGCTTTAACTATGCGGATCTTCGTTGCCAGTGTGATGTCTCTACTCTTCACTATTTTATCAAGATTGGACATTGCTCTCCTCCCAAGAAGTAAGCGTCTTCTGATTTCCTGGCCAGTCTGCATCTGCAGTAATCTTTGCACCTAGAAATACAAAGTCTGTCACGGCCTCCACAATTTCTCCCTCTATTTTCCAGTTGTCAATCATTCTTGTTGCCATAATCTTGGTTTTTTTGATGTTTAGCTGCAACCCGGCTTTTGCACTTTCTTCTTTCACCTTGATTAGAAGGCTCCTCAGCTCCTCCTCGCTTTCGGCCATCAGAGTGGTGTCATCTGCATATCTGAGGTTGTTAATGTTTCTTCCAGCAATTTTCAGCCCAGCTTTGCATTCATCCAGCCCCGCACATCGCATGATGTGTTCTGCATACAAGTTAAAAAGGTTGGGTGAGAGGATGCAGCCTTGCCGTACGCCTTTCCCAATCTTGAACCAGTCTGTTGTTCCGTGGTCAGTTCTGACTGTTGCTACTTGGTCCTTGTACAGATTCCTCAGGAGAGAGACAAGTTGCTTGGTATGCCCATCCCACCAAGAACTGGGATGTATAGTTCACCTAAAATCAAAGACATTCTGAACTCCACCAATGATGGAATTGAACCAAATATGGCACACACCACAGAACAGAAAATATATATCAGTGATTGGTTGGGGGTGGGGGTGTGCCAAAATACTGTTTGCTTACAGTTGAAAATTACCTAGGGCTGCCTCTGCGTACATGAGATGGCAGGGGGAGATAGAGCAGTGCCTCCCCAGAAGATCTCAAGGTATGCACTGGTTCATAGGTTAAAATGCGATCACGGAGATAAGCAGGTCCCGAACCGTTTAGGGCTTTATAGGTGATGACCTGCCACTTGAATTGGGACCGGAAACTTATTGAAAGCCAGTGGAGCTGTTTAAACAGGAGGGTTGACCGCTCTCTCTAACCAGCTCCCTTGAGTAGTCTAGCTGCAGATCTTTGAACCAACTGTAGTTTCCAGACAATCTTCAAGGCAGCCCCATGTAGAGTGCATTGCAGTAATTCTACCTAGAGGTGACTAGGGCGTGGACCACCATGGCCAGATCAGATTTCACGAGGTACGGGCACAGCTATCTGTGTCACTCACCACAATCCAAAACCCAACCTTTGACTCAAGACTGAAGACTGTTGACACACATCAAATAACCTGAGTTTTCAAAAAAGGTGAAAAGTAAAGGATCTTTTAAAGTCAAATTTAAGGTGAAAATCAAATGAATTAGATTCATATTCTCAAGAACACCAGCACTGGATACAAGTAGATCTTTTTCTGCCTTATCTCGGGTTTCTCTTGATTCTCCCAAGGAGAAGAGGAGATTTTGCTTCTAAGAACAAGGGAACAAACATGCCTCCCTACCTTTTTAGTCAGTAGTTTGGAACTAGGATTTCTCATAATAAATGTTAATTAAACAACAGGCTTGCTGTGATTATATTTCAAAGTAAGCAAGGTTTTTAATTGACTAACTACGTTAAAGATGCTGAGGCAATGCACTCTGCAGCTGCCAAATTAATGAATGGGGAGAAAGTGAAAGACTAATCACAAATGAGAAGCAATCAATGAATTTCTTAATGAATTAAATTTAAGTTTGTGAAAGTATTCATTAATATTTAAGATGCCTGAGCACTTTTTTTGTTTTTGTTGTTACCATATTTGATTAACAGAATTGTTCCTCTGACATTAATGTGTCACTGTCCCAATAGCTCAATGTAAACAGACACAGATTCTCTCCTGGTCACTCCCTCTAGCCTTCCCTTTTGGACAGCATAAATTGCCAGGCAGCACAACTTCCCCCATTCTGACATAGAGCTATTTTCTTTAACACTAGCTTACAAAATGAAGGCAGAGAAGATACCTCGGAGCTCTTCTAGGGAGCCCCACGAAAGAACCAGAGAGCCTTCGGTTCCAAATGGAAAGAAAGAAACAGTGGGACACAGGCAAAAGACTAGCAAAGAGAGGCAGAAATCTACTCAGAGGAAAGCTAAGAAGGAGACCAGGAGCACTCTTGAAGGAGACAACCAAGTCCATACTTCCACTGTGGTAGATGTGGATGATGTGGTCTCATTTGAGGAGGAAACAGAAGTGATGGCCTTACTTGAAAGTGAGAAGCTAGAGGAAGGTAAGGAGACAAGAGGACTTAATGCAGGAATAAGCAGGCTTTTGCAAATTTCACTTGCAAGGAATATTTAGTTCATTAGACTCCGAATATAGGATGCTCCACTTAGGTCTGGACTACATCCTATCAGGAATATGTGATTGTTTCCAGTACCTGCATCTCTGTTTTGATCTATGGAAACTTGAAACTTGTTGTTGTTTATTCATTCAGTCGCTTCCAACTCTTTGTGACCCCATGGGGCAGCCCATGCCAGAGCTCCCTGTTAGCCGTCACCACCCCCAGCTCCTTCAGAGTCAAGCCAGTTACTTCAAGGATTCCATCCATCTTGCCCTTGATCGACCTCTCTTCCCTTTTCCTTCCATTTTCCCCAGCATCATTGTCTTCTCTAAGCTTTCCTTTCTTCTCATGATGTGGCCAAAGTACTTCATCTTTGCCTCTAATATCCTTCCCTCCAATGAGCAGTCAGGCTTTATTTCCTGAAGTATGGTCTGGTTGGATCTTCTCACGATCCAAGCCACTCTCAGAACTTTCCTCCAAAACCACAGTTCAAAAGCATCTATCTTCCTTTGCTCAGCCTTCCCTATGTTCCAGCTCTCACATCCATAGGTTACTACAGGAAATACCATTGCTTTGACTCTGTGGAACTTCATTGCCAGTGTGATGTCTCTAATACCATCACTTTGATTATGTGGATCTTCGTTGCCAGTGTGATGTCTCTACTCTTCACTATTTTATTGAGATTGGTCATTGTTCTCCTCCCAAGAAGTAAACATTTTCTGATTTCTTGGCTGCAGTCTGCATCTAGGAATACAAAGTCTGTCACTGCCTCCACGTTTTCTCTATTTACGTTATCAATCAGTCTTGTTACCATAATCTTGTTTTTTTATGCTTAACTGCAACCCAGCATTTGCACTTTTTTCTTTCACCTTGGTTAGAAGGCTCCTCAACTCCTCTTTGCTTTCAGCCATCAAAGTGGTATCATCCGCATATCTCTGTTTTGATCTATTGAAACTTGAGACTTTAACATATTTAATTTTCAACCTTGCTTTTGAAATACTCTACTCCCCCCTTCCCCATTTTGGGTATCTCCTTTTCTCTTTTATTTTTGTCAAGTACGTTTAAATGAGGAAGAGACCTGTGTAATCCTAGAATCCTTTGCTCTTTCTCTTTAGGTATAAAGTCTGCAGGCTTAGGAGTATGTGAGTGGATTCTTGTCCTCCTTTCTCTCCTTTTCATCATGGCCACATTCCCCATCTCCATCTGGTTCTGCATGAAGGTAAGTCTATTCCTAGAAAGAAGCATGTACAGGATCTATGATTTGATGATGCCAATATTTCAAGCATAGATCAAAGCCTGTCCCTTCCTTGGGGATATGTAAACAGAACCCAAAATGTTTACATCAGTAGATCTTCCTATCTTCAAAATGGGCACATACATATTAGCACAAGACCTGGTTCATTAAATTCTGTGTGGGAGGTTTGGCCCAATTCTATCGTTGGTGGGTTTCAGAATGCTCTGTGATTGTAGGTGAACTATAAATCCCAGCAACTACAACTCCCAGATGTCAAGATTCTATTTTCCCCAAACTCCAGCAGTGTTCACATTTGGGCATATTGAGTATTCGTGTAGAGTTTGGTCCAGATTCATCATTGTTTGAGTCCACAGTTCTCTCTGGATGTAGGTGAACTACAACTCCAAAACCAAAGGACACTGCCCACCAAACCCTTCTAGTATTTTCTGTCGGTCATGGGAGAACTGTGTGGCAAGTTTGGCCCAATTCCATCGTTGGTAGGGTTCAGAATGCTCTTTGAGTGTAGGTGAGCTATAAATCCCAGCGACTACAACTCCCAAATGACAAATCATATTTTTGCGTGAAGGACATACATTGGGTTGTTAGGTGTCTTGTGTCCAAAATTGGTGTCAATTGGTCCAGTGGTTTTTGAGTTATGTTAATCCCACAAACGAACATTACATTTTTATTTATATAGATTGTACGGGAGTATGAGAGAGCCATTTTGTTTCGATTTGGACGCATTCTTCAGGGAAGGCCCAAAGGACCTGGTAAGTACAGAGAAATAATTTCTCTTGTTATTTATTTCGTATTAAAAGCATTGCATAAATTAGTACAAAACTATAAAAATAGAAGGAGCTCAAGCAGCTAAATATCTTTTCACCAAAGATATGGGGTTTTTTTTCCTCTCGTGATATCCTCCAGTTTGCTCTAAATATGACATGTTCAATGACATGAAAGCATGTTTACACATGCATCCACCAATCCCATTTTATGTAGATTGGTTTTGAGGAGGAAAGGGCTATTGCCCTATGGGTGGAAAAAACTGGATACTGTACAAAGGATATACAGTGGGAGTTGTATGAGGCAACCCTCCCTTTTCTCGTTTCTTTTTCTCCCAGGTACAATGAAATACAGCGGATAAACAAAGCAGTATTTATTTATTTATCGTGTCAGGAGCAAACCAAACACTTGCATTGCATTTTTTAACAAACAAACAAACAAACAAACAAAACACAAAGTTTGCAAGCTTGGTAGTTGATTAAATGTCCTTTGACCAGTATCTGGCCACTTGGAGTGCCTCTGGTGTTGCCGCAAGGAGGTCCTCCATGGTGCATGTGGCAGGGCTCAGGTTGCATTGCAGCAGGTAGTCAGTGGTTTGCTCTTCTCCACACTCACATGTCGTGGATTCCACTTTGTGGCCCCATTTCTTAAGATTGGCTCTGCATCTTGTGGTGCCAGAGCGCAGTCTGTTCAGCGCCTTCCAAGTTGCCCGGTTTTCTGTGTGCCCAGGGGGGAGTCTCTCATTTGGTATCAGCCATTGGTTGGGGTTCTGGGTTTGAACCTGCCACTTTTAGACTCTCGCTTGCTGAGGTGTTCCGGTGAGTGTCTCTGTAGATCTTAGAAAACTATTTCTTGATGTGCTGGCTGATACCCAAACAGGGGATGAGCTGTAGATGTCACTACCTTTGTCCTTTCACTATTGGCTGCTACTTCCCGTCGGATGTCAGGTGGTGCAATACCAGCTAAACAGTGTAAATTCTCCAGTGGTGTAGGACGCAGACACCCCGTGATAATGCGGCATGTCTCATTAAGAGCCACATCTACTGTTTTAGCATGGTGAGATGAGTTCCACACTGGGCATGCGTACTCAGCAGAAGAGTAGCATAGCGCAAGTGCAGATGTCTTCACTGTGTCTAGTTGTGATCCCCAGGTTGTGCCAGTCAGCTTTCATATGAGATTGCTTCTAGTGCCCACTTTTTGCTTGATATTCAGGCAGTGCTTCTTGTAGGTCAGAGCACGGTCCAGAGTGACTACCAGGTATTTGGGTGTGCTGCAATGCTCCAGTGGGATTCCTTCCCAGGTAATCCTCAGAGCTCGGGATGCTTGTCTGTTCTTAAGGTGAAAAGCACATGTCTGTGTTTTAGATGGATTAGGCCTCAGCTGGTTTTCCCTGTAATAGGCAGTAAGAGCACCTAGAGCTTTGGAGAGCTTCAACCATCTCAAAGTTCCCTGCTTGAGCGGTAATGGCACAATCATCAGCATAGATGAAACTCTCTGTCCTTTCTGGCAGTGGCTGGTCATTTGTGTAGATGTTGAACATGGATGGAGCAAGCACACTCCCCTGAGGCAGGCTGTTCTGTTTTCGCGAGAAGCCTCCCACAAGGATGATAAAAACATCAAATCATCCAGGTGTCCCCTGGGCAACGTCCTTGCAGACGGCCAATTCTCTCACACCAGTAGTGACTTGCAGTTTCTCAAGTCACTCCTGACACGACAAAAAAAATCTGCTTCTCTGGCCTTGGAACTCAACAAAAAAGCTCCTGTTTTGTAGCAGGTTTCCTATGACGCGGGTGAGGTGGTAGTACTTTGTGATATTATACATTTTTCGCAGGAGGAGGCAGTGGTTTACAGTATCATAAGCCACTGACAAGTCTACTACAAAGCACTAAAGCAATATCACAAGTTTCAGAAATGCTCAGTACCTGTTTTCTGATGTGGCATCATCCATCTATTCAGTTCATATGTTTTGTGCCTTCTAGTCATTTCTAACCTATGGGGACTCTAAGATAAACCTACTGTGGGGGTTTCTTGGCCAGATTTGTTCTCAGGGGGGTTTCCTTTTCTTTCCTATGAAGCTGAGAGATTGTGACTTGCCCAAAGTCACCCAGTGAGTTTCAGTGGCTGAGCAGTGATTCAAACCCAGATCTCCAACGTCATAATCCAAAACTCAAACCACTATAGAGCATCCTGATTACAGTTGTACTTACGGGATCATTTGTTAGCCCAGGACAAACTAGTGTGTCAATAAAATTTCCCTTTCCACAGGAATAAGAATTAAAAGAATGAGAAAGAAAATTTTTCATGTGTTTTTTTTTCCACCTTCGTTGGACTGGGCATACATCCAGTTCAAAAGTCTCTGCATACATCTGATGAACTGAGAAAAGCAGGAAACAATGAGTGAAGCTGCATGTGTCTACTACAGAAGAGAGGACAGAGATATGAAACGTCATTATACCTGTTCAATGTACTGTGTTGTTTGACCCTCAGAAATCTGATGTTTCTTCACAACATCCAATATGTAATTGTTGCTGTTTCCTTCTACCTAACAGGCTTGTTCTTCCTCCTTCCCTGTCTGGACACCTACCACAAAATAGACCTTCGCCTTAAAACCTTAGAGATCCCTTTCTATGAGGTAAGCAAATCCAATTATGTTCTCCTAATTTGTTCCTCTCTGATGCCTTTGGTAAGAATCAAATGCACACATTATCTGGAAATCAGATGCAGTTCTTAAAAGGTAGACACACAGAAAAGCTAACGTGAGATTCTTAACTCCTAGGAACTGAAAGTGTGCGAGTCAAACCTCAATTGAGCTCTGAGTGCACTACATAGTTTTGAACAACCTACACTGCCCTATATCCCAGGATCAGATCCCAGATAAAATGGATTATATGCACTTCCACTGCCAGATAATCTGGGATAAACAGATAATCTGGGATCAGATCCTGGGAGATAGGGCAGTGTCGAAGGAACCTTAGTCTCACCCCATTCCTCAATTATTATGGACATAATAAGAGACATTGTGGTGTAGAGTTATTTGTACATTGGACCAGGGTTCAAACCTTCACTCAGCCATGGAAACCCACTAGGTTACCTTGGGCAAATCGACTAGGAAATAAATCTCGCAAAAAACCAAAAAAAAAAGAAAAGAAAAGAAAATTCAAAGGACAGGGCCATTGTAATTTGGAAGTACATAACAATAACAATGATGATACTGAATAATTTTATTTATTTATCGTGTCAGGGGCAGACCAAACAGTTGCATTGCATTTTTTAAACAAACAACACACAAAGTTTGCAAGCTTGGTAGCTGATTAACTGTCCTTTGGCCAGTATCTGGCCACTTGGAGTGCTTCTGGTGTTGCTGCAAAAGGGTCCTCCATTGTGCATGTAGCCGGGCTCAGGTTGCATTGCAGCAGGTGGTCTGTAGTTTGCTCTTCTCCACACTCGCATGTCGTGGATTCCACTTTGTAGCCCCATTTCTTAAGGTTGGTTCTGCATCTCGTGGTGCCAGAGCCCAGTCTGTTCAGTGCCTTCCAAGTTGGCCAGTTTTCCGTGTGCCCAGGGGGGAGTCTCTCATTTGGTATCAGCCATTGATTGAGGTTCTGGGTTTGAACCTGCCACTTTTGGACTCTCGCTTGCTGGGGTGTTCCAGTGAGTGTCTCTGTAGATCTTAGAAAACTATTTATTGATTTAAGTCGTTGACGTGCTGGCTGATACCCAAACAGAAGGAGCTGGAGATGTCACTGCCTTGGTCCTTTCACTATTGGTTGCTTCTTCCCGGCGAATGTCAGGTGGTGCAATACCGGCTAAACAGTGTAATTTCTCCAGTGGTGTAGGGCGCAGACATCCTGTGATAATGCGACATGTTTCATTAAGAGCCACATCTACTGTTTTAGCGTGGTGAGATGTGTTCCACACTGGGCATGCATACTCAGCAGCAGAGTAGCGTAGTGCAAGGGCAGATGTCTTCACTGTGTCTGGTTGTGATCCCCAGGTTGTGCCAGTCAGCTTTCGTATGATATTATTTCTAGCGCCCACTTTTTGCTTGATATTCAGGCAGTGCTTCTTGTAGGTCAGGGCACGGTCCAGAGTGACTCCCAGATATTTGGGTGTGCTGCAGTGCTCCAGTGGGATTCAGTCACGACCAGACCGCTCTATCTCCCCGGAGAGACTCGGGGACCTAATTTACAGGTGATTGTGGACTCTGATCACATGTGTGTAGTACTTTGAACATTGCATAGCTATTAAGAATGATTTATCCCAGTGATTCCCAACCTTTGGGTTTGAAAATGTTGGGCTATTGTTCCAGAGAATCACTCACTATTAGCTATGTGGGTTGAGGCTTCTGGAGACCAAAGTCCAACAAGATCTGGGGAAACTAAAAGTCAGAAACCTTGGTGTACCCTTCTTTTATCCCTTTTTAGAATGAGCACTGTTTGAGTGTCCTGTGCATTATATTACACCAACTATAGTATTTTGCGCGAAGGCTGCCCAGCCCAAGCCATAGTCAATGCCAGATTTCCCATTATTTTCCCATTGACAGGATAAGTCGCTCACTCACTTACCCACACCATTATGTAAGCTGACCATTTGCAATACCTTTTTCTTGCCCTAGGTCATAACCAAGGACATGGTGAGTCTAGAAATAGATACCATCTGCTACTATCGTATGGAGAATGCTACACTCCTTGTGACCACCCTGGCCAATCTCCCTAATGCAGTCCGGCTCCTAGTACAGACCATTGCAAAGCGTTTTCTGGCGCATCGCTCTCTCACAGACATTCTGATGGAAAGGAAGTGCATCAGCCAGGAGATAAAGGTGGGCAGGTTTGGGATTTTTCTATGGCTCTACATGGCAGGAAAATTCATTGTACAGAATGACAGGACTTCCCATTGACTTCTAGAAGCAGCACTAGCTAATGTATTGTAACCACTGGTGCCTTGTCATTGGATAATTTCTTTTTTCCTGCACGTGGTTTCACAATCCAGAAGTTCAGAAGAACAGCCTTGGTAAATCAGACCAAGAGACATCTCAAACAGTATTTCTTTTCCAAAAACTGCCAACTAGATACCTCTGAGAAGCTCATTCTTTATCCCTAGCATCTGTTAATCTATATAAATAAAAATGTAATGTTCGTTTGTGGGATTAACAGAACTCAAAAACCACTGGGTGAATTGACACCTAATTTGGACAACATACACCTAACAACCCAATGTATGTTCTTCACTCAAAAAATTAGTTTGTCATTTGGGAGTTGTAGTTGCTGGGATTTATAGATCACCTACATTCTGAACCCCACAACGATGGAATTGAACCACACTTGGCACACAGTTCTCCCATGACCAACAAAAAATACTGGAAGGGTTTGGTGGGCAGTGCCCTTTGGTTTTGGAGCTGTAGTTCACCTACATCCAGAGATTACTGTGGACTCAATCAATGATGGGTCTGGACCAAACTCTACACGAATGTGAACACTGGTGGAGTTTGGGGAAAATAGAATCTTGACATTTGGGAGTTGTAGTTGCTGGGATTTATAAAAGGTTTGGACACCCCTGCCTGAAAGCTACTACCACATAAGGCTACTACCATTGACAAACCACCCTTTTTTGCAGGTGGCTGTGGATGCCATCACCTGTCAGTGGGGCATCAAGGTGGAGCGCACAGAAATGTAGGTATGGAAAGTATGATTTGCAGAAACAAAGGTAGCAAAATAACAGAAGAGAGAAAAAATAATGTTATTTTAAGCCAGGGACTAGAGAATGTGGCTTTTTGGATGTTTTGAATGACAAACTGTTGCCCCATTTGGTCTTTCACGATCTTTCATCTTTAAGATTGTTATATTTGTAATGTAATGTTTACATAGCAGATATGTATGTTTTGGTAATGTGCAGTTGCAACATTACCCTGAATTTCCCATTTCCTACCATATATCAAAGGAGGCCGCACCGTTGGCCTTCTGCATCCACAAATTGTCATCCACAGCCTGGTTATTTTTAAAATATAAAAAGCAAATGGCATAATAAAATAGCATTTAGTTAAGAAAAGAGATATAACACAAAAAAAACCCCACTGGTTTTCAGGAACTGCTGGATGATCTCTTCCTGTTTTCTCTTGTTGCCAACACAAAAAAAGCTACCAAGAAGAGCAATCACATTAACTATATTCGCCTATATTCTACCATAAAGGTACTTTACGGTACTTGGGAGTGATCCTGGATTCATCACTGAGCCTGGAACCCCAGGTTTTGATGGTGGCCAGGAGAGCTTTTGCACAATTAAAACTTGTGCACCAGTTGCACATGTACCTTGGGAAGTCATACTTGGCCACGGTGGTCCATGCTCTTGTTACATCTTGCACAGATTACTGCAACGTGCGCTACATGGAGCTGCCTTCGAAGACTTCCCGGAAACTTCAAATAGTACAACGGGCAGCAGACAGATTCCTCACTGGAGTGGCATATAGGGTGCATACAACACCCATTACATAATAATAATAATAATAATAATAATAATAATAATAATAATAATAATAACAACAACAATAATAATAAACCTTTATTTGAACCCTGCTACCATCTCCCGATTGACTCGGTGCGGCTTACAAGAGGCCGAGCCGAAATACATCAGTAAAAACAACAACAATACAACAATAAATAAACTCATAAACAAGGCAATAACATTAACAACATACGATGATGCAATTAAAAACAATGGCAGGGCCAAATGTAATAATTAAAATTTAAAAAGTGCTGGGCATGACCAGGTGAGGTGTTTGGAGGGGGATGGGCATCAGCTCCAATGGCTTCCAGTCTGCTACTGGGCTCAATTCAAAGTGCTGGCTTTGGCCTATAAAGCCTTAAACAGTTTTGGTCCAACTTACCTGTCCAAACGTATCTCCCTTTATGAGCTAGCTAGAGCTTTAAAATCTGTCGGGGAGGCCCTGCTCCCAGTCCCACCCCCTTTGCAAGCACAATTGATGAGGATGAGAGACAGGGCCTTCTCAGTGGTGGTCCTTCAGTTGTGGAACGCCCTCCCTTGTGATATGTGGCAGGCCCCATCTCTCCTGGACTTCAGGAAAAAGTTAAAGACCAGGCTTTATACACGGACATTTGGAGAATAGGCCAATACGGAATTCGACTTCAACAGTTTGGACAATGACGATGGACTAATTACTAAGCATAAACGCAAGACTCTGCTCTTTATGCTTTTAATATGTTCTATGCTTTTAATCTTTTTCATTATTTTACCTTTTTATTTGCTAATATGTTTAAATTGTTTTATAGTTGATAAGGTATGTTTTATGGTTATATTGGTTTTATTGTAATGTGTATGTTACAGCATTGAATTCTTGCCATATTTTGTAGGCCATCTTGAGTCCCCTCCGGGGTGAGAAAGACGGGGTATAAATGAAGTAGATAAATAAATAAATACTTTTGGAAATGCCAGCAGTCACTTCAAATTGCCCTCCCTCTGTGGCAGAACAGGAACAAATCTGATGTAGAGGTACTGCACATTGTCAGTGGCAACATGCACACCTCTGTAAATATTGTCGCTATGAATAGGGAGAGGTAACGGTAGGATAATGGCAGGTCAGATGTCCCAAATTTTCTATTAGTCAGCATATATTTCTCCTTCTACTATAACTCAAAGTCTATTCCTGAACTAGAAGAATGTTTTCAATTTGAGACAGCAGCCCAGCCTTCAGGATGTCCATTTCTATTTCAGCAATGACATAAAGCTGCCGGCCGAGCTTCGGGAATCATTGACCGTACAAGCAGAAGCCCAAAGACAAGCTGCAGTGAGAGTAAGCCAATAGCATGCTAATACTTAGGATTTTTTTCTCACTGGATCCTAAGGGAGGGGAAAGATGGCTTTCCTTCACTTTCTTTGAATCAAATTACATTCTTTTGATATTCCTTGTCATCGTCCCCTCCCCATGTTTGGGAACAAGCAACTTCTGGTATGCTTTATTTATTCTCCAACCGAACACTCCAGGATTCTCCCTTTCCCCTTTCCCCTACCATTATGGCAGGTTGTTTAATTCCTTTGCCCATAGAAACAGAAGCATTTGCAGAGCCTGTCTGCCTCATTCACCCCAAATTATGACAAAGGGCTGTTTGGCCACACAGTATGGGGATGTTCCACAGAAGCTTTAGCAAATACATTTTCTCATGCATCTCAGGGCCCTTTTACACTGCCCTATACCAGGACTGTGGCGCAGGTGGGTGGGAGTCAGATGCATTAAGGTCACTAATGACCAAAAGGTCATGAGTTCGAAGCTAACCCGGGTTGGAGTGAGCTTCCAACCAATTTGTGTAGTTTGCTGTCAACCTTTGCAGCCTGAAAGACAGTTGCATCTGTCAAGTAGGAAATTTAGGTACCGCTTAGCGGGGAGGCTAATTTACAATGCCATAAAAATATCCAGCAAGCATGCAAAGAATGAGGAAGTACTTCATCAGTGTTACAAATTGACAGTGAAGCGACAGCTCCCCTGGTGGCCAGAATACCCTCATCAAAAAGCTGGAATGTTAAATAGCCTCTGTGTGTTTGTCTATATATATTGTGTGTCTATGGCATTGAATGTTTGCCATGTATATGTACATTGTAATCTGCCCTGAGTCCCCTGTGGGGTGAAAAGGGCAGAATGCAAATACTGTAAATAAATAAATAATAATAAAATATATCCCAGGATCCGATCCCAGATTATCTGCTTATCGCAGATTATAATCTAGTTCAGGGGTCCTCAAACTTTTTGAACAGAGGGCCAGGTCACAATCCCTCAAACTGTTGGAGGGCCAGACTATAATTTGAAAAAACATAAATGAATTGCTATGCACACTGCACATATCTTATTTGTAGTGCAAAAAAGCCCCACTTAAAAAACCAATACAATAATTAAAATGAAGAACAATTTTAACAAATATAAACTTACTAGTATTTCAAGGGGAAGTGTGGGCCCATTTTTGGATGATGAAATAGGATTGTTTTTGTTGTTGTTGTTGTTCTTGTTGTGTGCTTTCAAGTCATTTCAGACTTAGGTTGACCCTGAGTGAGAGCCAGGTAAATGACCTTGGAGGGCCGTATCCAGCCCTCGGGCCTTAGTTTGAGGACCACTGATCTAGTTCAATGCAGATAATCTGGGATCAGATCCTGGAATATAGGGCAGTGTAGATCCAGTCTCAGATGCTTATCTAATAAAATGAAAAGCTCTGCCAAAGCATGTTTGAAATCGTAAAATGAGGAGTGGGAAGTGTGTTAGAAAGGCAATTCTCTACATGTCACATTGTATGGGAATATGCCATCGGTTTACATGCATTTCACTGGCACTTTAGTTCTTATTAATTGCAGTATTAGTTACTATGATTTAAAAGGCTGGGAATAATTGGTTTTTTAAAAAAAACAGGAGTGGAGATTAAAAAAACAATGGCTTTTGGGACCTGAAGCTCAAAATTAAGCCTCCTGGAAATGGTTCTATGTAGCAGAAATCTGAGTTTACTTATTGTACTAGCACTCAGCGGAACACCTCAGCAAGCGAGAGTCCAAAAGTGGCAGGCTCAAACCCAGAACCTCAACCAATGGCTGATACCAAAGGAGATACTCCCCCCTGGGCACACAGAGGACTGGGCGACTTGGAAGGCGCTGAACAGACTGCGCTCTGGCACCACGAGATGCAGAGCCAACCTTCAGAAATGGGGCTACAAAATGGAATCCTCGACATGCCAGTGTGGAGAAGAGCAAACCACTGACCAGCTGCTGCAATGCAACCTGAGCCCTGCCACATGCACAATGGAGGACCTTCTTGCAGCAACACCAGAGGCACTCCAAGTGGCCAGATACTGGTCAAAGGACATTTAATTAACTACCAAACTCACAAATTTTGCATTTTGTCTGTTTTTTTGCTTTGTTCTGTTAGAAATGTAATATAATCGACTGGCTGCACTGACACAATAAATAAATAAATACTAGCCAATTGACAGGATTTTCCCATTTGCATTTTACAAATCAAAGAGATGACATTTGGAAAACCGCTGCATTCTTACCTTTTCTGTGTGTCCTTCTCAGCCAGATAGGATGTGCAGCTATACTGATTTTCCATAAAAAGAAATGTTAGCACTAGGGTAGGTGGTATAGACTGCTGAATTGCAATTCAAACTTCTTAGGACCATTGTGCTTTCAATCAAAAGCTTCTTTCTAGTTTCAAGCCTTATTATTTCCCTGCTCAACCAAGCTAGGCTATTTCCTATTAGTCTTCTTCACCTATAGGAGAAATTACAGGCTTCTATGCATGATTTTCTTATTTAGAGGGAAATAGTACTAAGGGTAGACACAAACCAAAGGGCCAAAATGGGCAAAGTGAATCTTGCAGAGGAGCTTTAAAGATAGAAACTTCAAACTAAATTCTATAAAGAACAGAGTCCGCTTTAATTGTGCTTTTAACTGAGAAGCAATGTGTCAACATCACTGACAAGTCTGTTGTGGAAATATCCTTAAATGGCTTTTCATTTTAGGTGATAGCTGCTGAAGGAGAAAAGGTTGCTTCTGAATCGCTGAAAATGGCGGCTGAGATACTGTCCCAGACACCGGCTGCAATCCAACTCCGTTACCTTCACCTGCTGCAAAATGTGACTGCCGAAAAACCTTCCACTTTTATTTTACCATTACCTTTAGATGTTCTGAATTTTGCATCAGGAGTGAACCCAAAATCCACAGTCTGCAGTCCGTCTTCAGATACTCCCAACCACCCAGAAGCTCCAAAGACTAAGGATTCCCCCATGCTATAAGGCAGGGGTCCTCAAACTTTTTAAACAGAGGGCCGGGTCACAGTCCCTCAAACTGTTGGAAGGCCGGATTATAATTCGGAAAAAAAATGAATGAATTCTTTTGCACACTGCACATATCTTATTTGTAGTGCAAAAACCACTTTAAAATAATACAATAATTAAAATGAAGAACAATTTTAACAAATATAAATTTATTATTTCAATGGGAAATGTGGGCCTGCTTTCGGCTGATGAGATAGGATTGTTGTTGTTGTTGTGTGCTTTCAAGTCATTACAGACTTAGGTTGATCCTGAGCAAGGGCTGGGTAAATGTGTCCAGCTTGAATTGGCTGAATCATTTGCTCAGCGCAAATGAAGTTTGGGAACTTGCTGTGAAAGCTCTTTGGTGTCTGTTTATTTGAATTGTTAATTGTATCAGGGAGTAATTCTTCTGTCCTTAATGACGCCAGTTGTACCAACTCCTTCCGTAAGAAGGTCAAGGAATGTGTATGAGTGGGCCCATTTAAAACCAACTGCAGCTGAGTCAGCATGGCTCAAAATTGTTTCAGTTTGTAGTTATGTGTACATTTCTAATCCATATGATTTTACAGATAAAACGAAAACAAGCTGGTGATTGCAAAGAAAATAGAGAGCAACAGGGGAAAGCCAGTCATGCATAGTTCCTAGTGCTGTAACAAAAAGCTCTATCACTAAACCTTGTAATTTCCTTAGTTTTTTTCACTTCTAGCTCCATGCAAGTTTTTCAGCTGTTCCTAATGAAACAAACTGTTATAAGAACTTATGAATACAAAATTACAGATGAAGTGTTATGTTGAACAACAGAATGAAGTATAAAAATTAACCTGATATACCAAGCTGTTATATTTTCAATAGCAAGGGAGCATTGTACAGGGTGCGGCAGCATAACTTCCTTTTTTAAAATGCCGCCATTCAGTCGGTTGAAGACGTAGCGGAGCGCTAGTGGTCTCGTTCGAGAGACGGGAGTATAAAGTTTTGTCCTGACACAGTTCAGTCGCCATTATACGTTGGAACAGTGAGGAGTGTGCTTTTGCCATTGAGGCCTACTTTTCAAGCAGATGTTCTGTGATCGCAATCCAGCGTGCCTTTCGGAATTGCTTTAATTTAGCCCCATTGGCCCCTGTACCAGACCGGAAATCAATTGTGACATGGGTTACTACATTTAAACAAACTGGAAGTGCGACAAGATGGAGAACTGGAGTCCCTTGGCCCATTAGATCACCTGAGAACATTGAAGCAGTGAGAGCTTTAATGTTGCTATCACCACGGCATTCTGCGCACAAACATGCGTCTGCCCTTGGACTTTCCAATCGTTCTGTGAGGAGAATTTTTCATGATGATCTTCATTTCCATCCTTACAAAATGGCGATTGTGCAGGAACTTTCTGAACGTGACTTCAATTTTCGGAGGAAGGCGTGTGAGGTTCTTCTCAAAGTCGTTCCTGAGGACGCTATTGTTTTTTTTTTAGTGATGAAGCCCATTTTAATTTGTGTGGATCCGTCAACAAACAAAACATGAGCTACTGGGCTAACAACAATCCTTGAGAATTGCATCAAAGGCCTTTGCATTCACCTAAAATCACAGTGTGTTTCATTTATGAAAAGCAAAATAAATACTTGAATATTCGGTCAAGAAAGATTGGTTTAGGAAATGGTTTAGGAAATGTCGATTGGTTTAATCGACAAAACGGAAAAGATAGGTACAGAACTTTCAATGTATTGATTCAAGTAAACCAGATGGGGGTGGGAGGGAGGTGGGAAGAGGGTGGTAAGGGTGGGTGGGTGGGATGGGGGTTTAGAGGGGTTAGCAATCAAGATATACAATAAAGGGAAGCACAATTGGAACCTGTATCCTAGCCATAAAAATTGTAAACAGTTTTTGATGTTATATTTTAGATGGATAAGGTTCGTATTGTATTGTTTTGTTATCTGTATGAAGAAATTAATAAAAAAATTTAAAAAGATGGGTTGGATTTAAGGGACATTTGGTTCCAACAAGACGGTGCAACTGCACACACTTCAAGAGCGTCGATGGCTGTTTTGAGGGAACACTTCCCAGAGTGCCTCATCTCAATTAGAGTGGGCAGCCCGCTCTCCAGATTTGGCCCCTTGTGATTTTTTTCTATGGAGTTTTTTGAAATCCCGTTTTTATGTGAACCGTCCAAGGACCCTACAAGATTTGAAGACCAACATCCAGGAAGAAATTCCCAACATAACGCCTGCTATGCTGGCAAGAGTCATGACAAACGCCAGAAATCGGTTTACTCAGTGTATGGAGAATAGAGAATGGGGGACGTCACCTTCCTAATTTGATCTTCAAAACTATGTAAAACAAAACTTTAGGTATGCGCCTACATTATAAAAAAAAATCTGATTCATACAATGGGTTTTATTAAGTTTTGAAAAAAGGAAGTTAAGCTGCTGCACCCTGTATTATTCAGCACTTGCTTTTGAGGTATTTTAAGACTATAGAACTACAGAACTCTTGATTTGATATTCTGGTTTTATAGCAGTATCAGTTTTTGTTGTCGCATTTTAATATACGAGTATACATACCACCTCTGGAGCCTTTCAACAACAAATCAGACTATTGCAGTTTTTAACATATCTCAGTAGACAATAATTATCGAATGGTTGGTTGCCAGACCTGTGTTGTTGTTTTCAAAATATCCTAAAGGTGAGGCCATTGTCAAGGCTAGAGGACAACTGAATCATACCTTGCACTGAAAAGTGGGAACATATCATATAATTGAATGGTGGAATGAAGGGACTTGTAAAACCTAGATGGAATCTTTTGGAACTGTGCTATGAGTTGAGGGTTTCTTCCACTATTGTATTTTCCTCTTGTGAAAAAAAAAAGATTTTTACAAATATGGAATTCATGACTTGCACATTTATACAACTGTGAAATTGTCAGTGACCTTGTGGCACACACAACTTATTATTATTATTATTATTATTATTATTATTATTATTATTATTATTTTCATTACTAGCTGTCCCCTGCCAAGCGTTGCTGTGGCCCAGTCTGGTGATCTGGAAAATAAAGTAATGAGAAAGTATTGGTTTCTAATCTGTGTAATTTATTTTATGTTTGTGGATAAACCGTGTTTCTTGTTGTTTCTTTGTCAGTGCTAATGTAGAGATTGTCTAGTTTGCCTACTATGGAACATGCAACATATAATTGTCCTTTAGGGGTCCCTTACAAATCTATGATACTGTGTCTGTTATATGCATCTATATGTGTGTGTGTGAATCATATCCATCTATCTATCTACCTATATCTGTGGCTGGCTGGTTCTTTGTCAGGAGGGTTTTGATTATGTTTTCTTGCCCTGATGAAGGGAGTTGGACTGGATAGCCTTAAGATGATTTAGTGTAATTGTATTATTGATAGTTATGTTGATATTGTGTTGTGATATTGTCTTATTGTAAACTTTTTTATATGTTGTACACCGCCGTGAGTCACCCTAGGGCTGAGAAGGGCGGTCAACAAATGCAGTAAATAAATAAATAAGACAGCATTTCTCAATGTGTGGGTTGGAACCCCTGAGGGGTCGTGAGGGGGTGTCAGAAGAGTCGCCAAAGACCACCAGAAAACATAGTATTTTCTGTTGGCCATGGGGATTCTGTGTGGAAAGTTTGGCCCAATTCTCTTTGATTGTAGGTGAACTATAAATCCCAGTAACTACAACTCCCAAATGTCAAGGTCTATTTCCCCCCAAACTCCACCAGTGTTCATATTTGGGCATATGGAGTTTTCGTGCTAAGTTTGGTGGAGATCCTTCATTGTTTGAGTCTCTCTGGATGTTGGTGAACTACAACTCCAAAACTCAAGGTCAATGCCACCAAACCCTTCTAGTGTTTTCTATTGGTCATGGGAGTCCTATGTGCCAAGTTTGGTTCAATTGCATCATTGGTGGAGTTCAGAATGCTCTTGTAGGTGAACCATAAATCCCAGCAACTACAACTCCCAAACGACAAAATAAATTTTTTGGAGTGATGGTCACTCCTTGGATAAGTAGGTGGCAATTTGGTGGCAATTCGTCCACTCAAAACAACAGAGCAACATATCCTGTTTTTTCTCCATAAGGAGACTCAAAGCACCTAATGTTAAAACCATTGTAAAAAGAATGGGGCATTTTGTTGGATCAATCCCATTTTCAACGGATATGTTTATCTTTGCCCATCTTTTCTTATGTACATCTTCGGAATAACAAAGAATAATCAAAGATTAGGATGAGCTCTTATACTTAATGTGCCATGAACCTTGGTTACACCAATTTTCCTTACAGGAGTTCTCATATAATCTTCAGCAGGGTGCCTTATGCCACCATTTCAACATACTTGGTTCAACTATATCAAAGGCTAATAACTGTCATGGTTTGGCTACCCATAAGAGTCTCTGGAGAAACAGTCAGCGGAGACTACAAGGGTTGAATGAAAAGTAATGCCTCCACCTTCGTAACTCCTCAACAGATGGCAGTACTGGTATGTGGCAGGTACCTGTTTATTCAGTAGACTCTCCTCTACAGTTCCATTTGCATTTGTCCCTGATGAACTTCATTTTGTTAGTTTTGGCCCATCTCTCTAATCTGTTAAGATTGTTTTGAATTCTCTCCTGTCCTCTGGAGTATTGACTATCCCTCCCAATATGGTGTCGTCTGCAAACTTGATGATCGTGCCTTCTAACCCTTCATCTAAGTCATTTATAAAGATGTTGAACAGGACTGGGCCCAGGACGGAACCCTGCGGCACTCCACTCATCACTTCTTTCCAGGATGAAGAATCATTGGGGAGCACCCTCTGGGTTTGTTCATTTAACGAATTACATATCCACCAAACTGTAGTTTTACCTAGCCCACATTTGACTAGTCTGTTTGGCAGAAGGTCATGGGGGACCAATCTAGACTGCGCATATTTTCTAAATAAATAATAAGACTCATGAAACAGACCCAGAATGTTCAGCAAGCTCATGCCCATGTATGTACTGATATAGAACAGAAATTCTCACCCTCAAACTCCAGATATTTGCAACCCACATATTGTGCCATGCACAAGAATCAGAGGTATTCCTGCAACCATTATCTTCAATGCTTAGATTTGGTGGATTTCTTAACGCGGGGCGTTTTATCAGGCTTGGATGTATCAAACTTTCTTTTAGAAGGTACTTCTGTAATGAGAAATATATTGAATTGTTAAGAACCCACACTCCAGCATCTAACTAATATAGAGACCACTGAACAGAATTCTTTGCCCTGGAAGTGGGAAAGCTTGGTCCAAAATCAGTGAGAATTTTTTTGCAGACATAGGCAAACTTTGGTCCACCAGGTGCTTTGGGCTCCAATTCCCAGAAATCCAAGCCAGCTTACTGGCTGTTAGGAATTGTGGGAGTTGAAGTCCAAAAAAACCTGGAGGGCCAATGTTTGCGTATGTCTGATCTAGTGTTTTAACTCCAATGCCAAGCCAAGTCTGCAACAAGTGTACCTGCATAATATATGCATTTGTAAATGTGTGTCTGCACATATTTATTTAATACTAGCCATCCCCTGCCACATGTTGCTGTGGCCCAGTCTGTGTATATGTGTTTTGCGTGTGTATATATGTATGTGTGTGTATATATTTGTGTATATATGTGTGTTTGCATATGTATATATATGTGTGTGTGTATTTGTGTATTTATATGTGTACATGCATATTGTGTATATGTGTGTGCTTGTTTATATGCATATTTGTGTGTATATATGTATGTGGATATGTATATGTGTGTGCATGTGTATATGTATATATGTATGTGTACATGTATATGTGCATGTGTATATCTATATATGTGTGTACGTATATGTATGTGTATATTTGTGTGTGTTTGTGCAAATATATGTGTGTGTGTGTATGAATGTGTGCATATGCATATGTATATGAGTATGCGTATATGTATATGTGGTGTATTTTTGGGTTTTTAAGTCTGTTCTGCTGGGGTTTTGTGTGTGTGTGTATGTGTGCGCGCATGTGTATGTGTTTATGGGTGATGGACACTCGTTGGGCTGTTAAGCGTATTGTGTTCAAATTTGGTGTCAATTCGTCCAGTGGTTATTGAGTTCTGTTAATCCCACAAACGAACATTACATTTTTATTTATATAGACTGGTGTTCCAATTTGTAGATACACAATTTATTCCCCCATCCATGAAATAAATTGCTTGGAAATGCAAAGGAATACTTGGTAATGTAGGAAGAACTTCCTGACTGTGAGAGCCATTCAGCAGTGGAACTCTCTGCCCCGGGGTGTGGTGGAGGCTCCTTCTTTGGAGGCTTTGAAACAGAGGCTGGATGGCCATCTGTCGGGGATGCTTTGAATACAGTTTTCCGGCTTCTTGGCAGGGGGTTGGACTGGATTGCCCATGATGTCTCTTTCAACTCTATGATTCTATCATTCTAATGTTATATTGAATGAATATGTGTTTACAACCCGGTCTGTCACATTCATGGTAATATTTTAAATCAAACACATACCTCTCTAGTCTAGCCTTTAACCTAGACACTCTCTCTCTCTCTCTCTCTCTCTCTCTCTATATATATATATATATATATACAGAGAGAGAGAGAGAGAGAGACTGTACCCCACTCTCATTATGATGGTCTATGACTGTAATAAAGATTTGTTTGTTAGTTTGTTTGGTAATTAAACACATGCCTAAAACTGGAATGCAAAAAACTGCATTTTTAATTATTTACAATTAGAATCATAGAGTTGGAAGAGACCTCATGGGCCATCCAGCCCAACCGCCTTCCAAGAAGCAGGAAAATCGCATTCAAAGCACCCCCGACAGTTGGCCATCCAGCCTCTGTTTAAAAGCCTCCAAAGAAGGAGCCTCCACAACACTTCGTGGCAGAGAGTTCCACTACTGAATGGTTCTCAGTTAGGAAGTTCTTCCTAATCTTCAAGTGGAATCTCCTTTCCTGTAATTTGAAGCCATTGTTCCGTGTCCTACTCTCCAGGGCAACAGAAAACAAGCTTTCTCCCTCCTTCCTATGACTTCTCCTCTCATATTTATACATGGCCATCATGTCTCCCCAGCTCTTTCTCAAAAGTCCTTATCCATACCTTTCTCAACCTCTGCTTCCTCGTCATCCTTTAGTTTGTCCTCACTCTCCAGATCTTGGATTTTTGCCAGGGCTTCTTCCAACTCCTCATGAAGGACTTCAGATTTTTCCTCAGCTTGCTGTGCCCGCTTTTCAGCCTCTCTGAAATAACAGAATCCAAGGCAGGGGAACACTGAATAATCTTTCCCAAGAACAGGTAATCCAGGCCAAGAATCTTTGGTATCAGCCATAGGGTCAAACGAGAGAAGTGCACAAATCTTGAACACAGCATCTACCCAAACATCCAGTTCACCATGGAAAAAGAAAACGAAGGAAGACTGCCTTTTCTACATGTCCTAGTCATCCGTAAACCAGATCAACAATTGGGCCACACCGTTTACAGAAAACCCACACACACAGATAGATACCAACATAAAAACTCCAACCATCTCCCAAGTCAAAAAAGAAGTACCATTAAAGCCTTGGCAGACCGTGCAAAAAGAATCTGCGAACCCCACCTCCTCCAAGATGAATTGAACCACCTAAACTGGGCTCTACAGGCTAATGGACACTCCACCTCAGACATCAGAAGAGCTGCAAGACCAAGAACAAGCCACAAGAGACAAGACAAAGATCCACCCAGAGGAAAAGTGTTCTTGCCATACATCAAGGGAACCACTGACCGCATAGGGAAGCTGATGAGGAAACACAACATACAAACACAACAGCAAAGGACAAGAGGGATCCTCTCACCTCTGCAGGAATCTACCGTATACCATGCAGTTGTGGACAAGTCTACATAGGGACCACCAAACGCAGCATTGCCCAAACACAAATCAAGGAACATGAAAGGCACTGCAGACTACTTCAGCCAGAGAAGTCAGCCATAGCAGAGCACCTGATGAACGAACCTGGACACAGCATATTATTTGAGAACACAGAAATGCTGGACCACACCAACAACCACCATGTCAGACTACACAGAGAAGCCATTGAAATCCACAAGCATGTGGACAGTTTCAACAGAAAGGTGGAAACCATGAAAATGAACAAAATCTGGCTACCAGTATTAAAAAACATTACAATAGCAAGACAACAGAGAGGAAACAATCAGGGACATCTAATCACCTCTCAACAAAAGATTGCCCCAGGGACTGCCAGGCCATCAAATGCTAATCAAGGTTGTCAGTTGAAACATTCACACCTAGCTCCAGCAGACAAGAGTCCTTTGTCTCACCCTGGTCATTCCACAGATATATAAACCCCTTTTCCTAGTTCCAACAGACCTCACTCCCTCTGAGGATGCTTGCCATAGATGCAGGCAAAACGTCAGGAGAAAATGACTCTAGAACATGGCCATATAGCCCGAAAAAACCTACAACAACCCAATCAGGTTTTTTTCTATTTGAATATGAAATATGGGAAAGGCTAAATCCATCTTTCACATAAAAAAAGATCATGCAGAAAACAGTCAGACCATCATTTTACTCTGAGGTTCTCAATTAGTTTAAAACATTCTTCTACTCAGTGCCAAAGCCATGCTGGGGGAAATGCATCAAATATCAGAACACAATAATTGTAAGACACTCTATTCTCTGTGTGTCTGGAATCACTCAGTATGTTTAAGATTTATAGTCACCGTACCCCTAATCTAGCTTGTAGAAAATGCAAAACAGCATATCCCATTAAATGGAAGTGCAATTCATGCAAAAGGCTGCCTTTTGGGAACACAATGTAGTCCTTAAAACAGGGGTGGGCAGCAATACAAGACTGCATTACCCCCAGAAGACTTTAGAGGGCCGCATTTCCTACCATACCTGCTTCCAAACACACACACACAAACACAAAATGCCCCCAAACGCTATCTAGGGGACACAAACAATTTTAGAGCTTTTTGGGCTTTTAAAGGGCATTTAGGGGCAAAAAATTCTGAACATTTGGAAATTTTCATTTTAACCACCAGGGAACCGTTGAAGCTGTTTGCAATTTGTAATGTAGATTTTAAAGTATGTATGTATGTTTAAAATGCAATAGCTATGTGCCGAGAGTATTAATGTGTGGAAAGCGTTAACTGAACCATGGAGGGAACAGCATTCCTAGAGAGGTCATAAATCAAGTGTATAGAGCAAATGGATGCATCTTCGTGCTGTCGTGCATCGTATGTCATACGTCACTCTGGAATGCAGGAGGTGTGTACTAGTACTGATAACAGCGTTCGTATGTTCACAATGTTACGATCGAACGGAAAGAAGCAAGTTTACGATTTGCTGAGTGTTAAGTAGCTTCTAATGTATATAGCTGTAAAATAAAGTAGTTTATAGCCTAAGGTCGTTGTGATCAATCTGTTTCCTGCCTTGCTGTGCGGCTGATGCCACTGACAGGAACATATGCCCATCACACCTCTTAGAGATCATTTGGGGGCATTTTTGGAAAAAGGTCATTTGATCCTAGGCAGTCCTAGGGGCTACAAAAAGTACCCTAAGTGGATGCAGACAGCCCACAGACTGGTCCTGCCTTAAAACCTACCAATTGCCTTATCCCACCCTACCCCCATTCAGTCAGACTAAATGGTTTTCAGTTAAAAAAAAAGGAAGCTTTTCATTGTAGAAGAAAACTTTTGTGAGTAAATACATTGTATTTCAAGCGACACCACACCCAAACACACAATTTTCCCCGTGCCAAGATCCCAATAATAATAATAATCATCATCATCATCATCTTTATTTATACGCCGTCACCATCTCCCCGAATGGGGACTCGGGGCGGCTTACATGAGGCCAAGCACAAACAACAAATTACAACAAAGTAAAGCCAAGAACACAAACAACAAGCAACAACATCATAATTGCATAATAATAATAATAATAATACAAAAATATATAAATACATTAGCAATATAAAATTACAATCACAGTGACACGTGCAGAATAAAATGATTAAAAATAATTTAAAACTCAGGTAAGATAAAAGGAGGAGCTCAATTAAAAAACGGTTTTGGAACCGACCCTGCCCACGAAGGGGGGGGTGTGTGTACTCAATGACAGAAACGTTGAGGCTGAGTGATAGTGTGAGGTTACGTACCTACTCACCAAAGGCGCAGCGGAATAACCAGGTTTTGAGGTTCTTTTTAAAGATTTCTAGGGTAGGGACTCCCCTACCCTAGAAACCTTGTGGTTACCTCTTGGGATCTAAGGTAGATCCCAAGAGGTGACCACAAGGTATGCATCTATTTATTTATTTATTTACTATATTTATATCCTGCCCTTCTCAACCCCAAAGGGGACTCAAGGCAGCCTACAGTGAGGCAAAATTCAATGCCTTAAACTATTCAACAATTAAATAACATTTAGTTAAAAATCTAAATGAGATTTAAAAGCAATTAAAACATAAACAATACAACTAACAGCTATAAAATCACGTTATCCACAATCAAGGTCTGGCCATTCCAATGATCATTACACATAAATCCAAGTCATCTATTGCACTGTATTAGTTGCCAAAGGCTTGGTCACAAATGTTTTCAGAAATCTGGGGTTGCTGTGAGTTTTCCAGGCTGTTCCAGAAGCATTCTCTCCTGACATTTTGCCCACATCTATGGCAGCAGGCATCCTCAGAGACTGAGGGGTCTGTTGGAAACTAGGCAAGTGAGGTTTGTATGTCTGTGGAATGTCCAGGGTTAAAGAAAGCCTTTGACAATACACAGCAATCTTCTCTCTCAAAATCTTCTCTTTACTAATGTCCAAAAGAATGACTGCCCATGGAGAAATGGATAAACTTCAGTAACTGTAGGATTGTATTGTGGAAGGCTTTCATGGCCTGAATCAAATATAATATTAATATTGTGCTGTGGTAATAATATAATATATTGTATTTACTTGTAAGCCGTTCTGAGTCCACTTCGGTGTGAGAAGTGCGGCATATAAATGTCGTAAATAAATAAATAAATACAACAACCCAACTGTAGCATTTATTCTGAAGTACTGAGCAAACTCCACAAATAATGAGGTTGGTTCATGATAGGAAAGCAAGTGCAAATTTTCCTGCACCAATAAATATGTTTGTAGTCAAAAGGATATACCAGTAAAAGACATTGCTACTTGCACAAAAAGGTTGACAGTGGTATGGCACACTGACATTTCAAGCAGGCACAAGAAAAATATTCAGTTGTACATTTCTTATTTCTTTAGAAAAATGTCTCATGTAAAGATTTGTCAGGAAATTTACACTGTATCTAGGTTCAAACTGGCAGTGTTTCCAAGGATTCGATATAAATGTTTTGGGGATCAGATCTGTATTAAGGAAGAAAGTCTTCCTGGTTATTCCTGTGATTAATTATTGCAATGGATAATATTTTTACTACTCACATAAGCCGGTCTTCCAGAATTTCCAGTGAAGCCAGCATCTCGAATTCCTTTCTTGAGTATTCGGTGGTCCACTTGCTGGCATATAACTCCCTCTAGAATAAGAAAGGTATTATAGACATTTACAAATAAACTAATCATACTACTGTTTTCCTTCTTAGAGATGGTGTTTTGTAGTAATTAAAAAGTCAATAGCAAGATGGCAAATTTCAGCATGCTCAGAGGCCATAAATTATGCTCTCTTATGTTCAGTTATATCTATATCATGGACTTAATAATACTGGATTATAAGAAAACTTTGACTGGATTTGTTCCTTTGGAAATATGCTCATTTATTGTAAGAGCATATTACAAAGAGAAAGTCATATAGTGTAGCCATTTGAACACTGGACTAAGACTTCTTAGATCAGAGACTGGAAAACTCACTCAGCCAAAGAAACTCACTAGGTGACCTTGGGCAAGTCACATACTCTCAGCTTCAGAGGAAGACAACAGCACCCCCCCCCCACCCTCTTTAACAAACATTGCCAAGAAAAACCTGAGATTATTATTATTATTTTATTTCTTAATTATTAACTTTATTTGTACCCCGCTAGCATCTCCCGAAGGACTCGATGCGGCTTACACAAGCCAAGGCCTCAATAAAACAACAGCATAACAAAACACATAACTTAAACAAATCAAACAATAAAACAATAGCAGTAAACAATAAAAACAATACACCATGACACAATAAAACTAGGGCCGGGCCAAATGTAATGGGTACAGATTAAAAAGTGCTGGGTGTAACAGGTGGATGTAGGATTTTAAGTTAAGTGCACTGTGCAGACAATCTTACATTTCTGTTAAGTTTCCCATAAGTTGGAAACAACTTGAAGGCACAAAACAACAAACCACCACCTTTATAGGAAAGTTGCACATGATCAGAAGTAGCTATATTACTACCATACTGCCTATTATTGTTGTTGCTGCATTTGGGAATTGGTTATGTAGCCAGAAAGGGGGGAAGCAATGTCTCATTTAGCATCAACAGAAGTGGGGTGACCATTCACCCCATTTCTGTTTGTTCCACCTACAGCGTTGCCCCTATGATGCACTTTCTCCTGTCCTAAAATGAAAGCCTAACCCCACTGTTCATCCTTTTGGACTCCTCTCAAATGCACTTTTTCTACTCCTACCTCATCCATGGTTTTATCATTTTACCTTGTCCATGTGGCCCGCCCATTGTGTTCGATTTTATATTATGTTATTTTGCCGTTGCTCATGGGGATTCCATGTGGGAAGTCTGACCCAATTCTATCATTGGTGGAGTTCAGAATGTTCTTTGATTGTAGTGAACTATAAATCCCAACAACTACAACTCCCTAATGTCAAGGTCCATTTCCCCCAGATTCCACCAGTGTTCACATTTGGGCATATTGAGTATTTGTGCCAAGTTTGGTCCAGATCCATCATTGTTTGAGTCCACAGTGCTCTCTGGATATAGGTGAACTACAACTCCCAAACTCAAGGTCAATGCCCACCAAACCCTTCCAGTGTTTTCTGTTGGTCATTGGAGTTCTGCGTGCCAAGTTTGGTTCAATTCCATCGCTGGTGAAGTTCAGAATGCCCTTTGATTGTAGGTTAATTATAAATCCCAGCAACTACAACTCCTAAATGAAAAAAATCAATCCTCCCCAACACCACCAGTATTCACATTTGGGCATATTGGGTATTTGTGCCCAGTTTGGTCCAGTGAATGAAAATACATCCTGCATATCAGATATTTACATTATGATTTATAACAGTAGTAAAATGACTGTTATGAAGTAGCAACGAAAACAATGTTATGGTTAGGGGTCACCACAACATGAGGAACAGTATTAAGGGGTCACGGCATTAGGAAGATTGAGAACCACTGGTGTAGCAGAGGGAGGACAAAAGGAGCCCGTTAGTGTCCAAAGGAGTGGGTTCAGAAGAAGTTGGTTTTCAGGGCCCTCCTTAGATCAACTTCTTACCAGGTTCTTTCAGAGGCATGAGAAGGGTGAGATTGGAAAGAAGGGTAGAGAAATGAAACTGGAGCCTATGGAAAACCTAGCTGACCTTGGGAATGAAAAACAAGTCCAAGACTAGGGTAACCAAGTCCTACTCAAAGGTGCAATCAGCTGGGTAGACGGAAAGGACTCTGACTTTTGGCAGCCACATGGCTGAGATGATAGTGACAAGAAGGAAGACTTTGTGAAAGAAATGGTGCGGAGAGTAAGTCCGCTAATTCAGCTGCCTCATCTTGTCCTAAAACAAGGCGAGATTGAGCTATACAAGCAATTTGGATATACATACCCCTGAGACTGTAATTTCTTCCACATCCAGAGGCTTAGTGTACACATTAGCATCATCACCAACATATCTTATTGGGTGAATAATCTCAACATTTTCGGTTTGATCTCCAGTGCTGGTGTCAGGCACAGGTGGTGCTTCCTAAAAGGTAAAAAAGGAGCAGGAAACACAGCGTTTATTCCTTATTCATCCAGGAAACCAAAACTCTCTTAACTAAAGCTGCTCCAGTTTTGTCTGCTACAATATAAGGAACATCACCTCAATCTTTACAAATTTTAATGTTCTTCATGAGGCCTATCTTCTCTTTTGCAGAGCACATGTAGTATACACACTCAGGACAGGTTGTCCGTAGGCATTTTGGAAGATAATCTGAAATGCTAAAATTCTGGAAAGGGATCATCTGCTGCTAGAAAAAGAAGAACTGAAAGTGACTTCATAAATACAATTGAGATCTTAATTAACTCCAAGAGAATCCTGGGATTTTTAAGCTGCCGTGTCACATAGTCGTCTCATGTTTAACTTGTTGTCCACGAAGACTCCAATATCTTTTTCACATGTACTGCTGTTGAGCCAGGCGTCCCCTATTCTGTATCTTTGCATTTCATTTTTTCTGCCTAAGTGTAGTATCTTGCATATGTCTCTTCTGAACTTTATTTTGTTAGTTTTAGCCCATCTCTTTAATCTGTTAGGATTGTTTTGAATTCTGCTCCTGCCTTCTGGGGTATTGGCTATCCCTCCCAATTTGGTGTCGCCTGCAAATTGATGATCATGTCTTCTAACCCTTCATCTAAGTCATTAATAAAGAAGTTCAACTGATTTCTCAAGCAAGAAATTTACACAGAAAGCTGAAAAAAATATGAATACATTTAATGAGGAATACACAGCAATGCATGGACAAACCGGTCTGCTTATTTTCAGCACTATACATAGCTCTGGGTAAGCCAAAAAGAACACTATCCATTTTCCAAAAGAAGCTCACCTCTGATTCCAGTGTTTCTGGCTTTTCCACTTCTTTCTTCAAACCAGCTTCTTGGACTGTCTTGTCATCCTTTGAAACCTGTTCGGTTCGAAAGAAGGAAGAGCTCTGCAGGGAAGTCTCTGGACGAGGTGGCAGCGGTCGTTTTGACATAACTGCCTGCAGGAGACAAAAAGCTTGTCACTCACTCAGAAATTTGCTCTGCTTCACTTGGAAAAATATCTAGTTTTTAACAGAATACCAACATTAAAATTAAATCAAACTTCTTGAGAGCCATCAAAGAAATGTACATGGGATTATTAGGTTTTCTGGAGTAGTGTTTGAATATTTAGTTGTTTCAGTACTAAACATCAATTCTGTATGCAGTAGGACATGGTACAGAAAGGCAGAAAATACTGTATATAAGACAGTGAGTGGCCCTAGGCAACCATTGCCTCACAGAGCTACAGAATGGACATATTATGAAATCAATTCAATGAAGTCTTTTTCAAGTTTGTATGCATAAAGTATGACAGGCTTGCATCCAATGTTGAATATAAAGCCTTTTGATTCATGGAGACATTTACTAATAGAAGGAGCAGGTGAGAAAAGTTTTACCCTGTAATCAATGGGGCCCCTCCCTTTGTTCCAAAGGTGTCTCTACTGATGCATATTTTCTGGGACCATAGAGAAGATGGAGCATCAGCAAGAATTGCTTCCCTTTGATTCTCTTAGCATAGTCCTCCACTGAGTCAAAAACTCTTCTACAAACAGCAAACTAATAATTGCAACAGCAAACATAATTTTTATAATTTAGTTCCCAACACTGGGGCACATCTAGTATGGCCATGGAACTGAATCCAGAATGGATAAGCAACGGTCAATAGCTAAAGTCATCAGAAGCCAGAGACAGTCCACTTTTGTGGAGTTCTCATGTGGCTCATTCACTCCTGTACGGATATCTAAGCATGGTAAACAGGATACATCATTACAATAGATATAAAGCATGACCTAATGTCCAGTATTGTGTTTTCTGAAGCTCAGTGACTGATTTTGTGTTAAACAATATTTACATAGACATTGAAATGAGTACTTGCATAACTGAACTATTTTCTGTCCCACAAGGGAAACCTCTCAGAGACATATGCCTCAACAATCACATTTCCCATTAAGTCTGCATAGGTAAGGAAAATCACATGCTATAGCAAATAGATGCATTTTATCACTGCAGGAAGACTTCCATAAAATGTGATAAACATACCATCTCAATAAGGGGTGTCAAACTCATTTCCATCCAGAGCCACATCAGCCTTATAGGTGTCTTCAAAGGACCCTTGAATCCATGGATGGAGAATTTGTGGATACAGATCGCCAACTCTTTTTTTTTACACTAGCTGTCCCCTGCCACATGTTGCTGTGGTCCAGTGTGTGTATATGTGTTTTGTGTGTGTATATATATTTGTGTTATATGTGTTTGCATATGTAGGTATATGTGGTTTTGCTCATGCGTTGTAATGATTTTTTTTTTATTTTTGGCTTTTTAAGTCCCTTCTGCTGTGTTTTTCAGTGTTTCTATGAGTGATGGTCACTCGTTGGCCTGTTAGGTGTATTGTGCCCAAATTTGGTGTCAATTCGTCCAGTGGTTTTTGAATTATGTTAATCCCACCAATGAAATTTACATTTTTATTTATATAGATAAGTGGCTGGTGCTCTTTAGTTTTTACTTAATTTAGGTACTGAGCGACAACTCCCATCACATTTTATTATCCGCCAAGAGGACTGGGCATCATGGGAATTGCAACCCAACAGTCCTTGTGGCTGTGTGGTTGGGAAAAGGCTAAAGGCAATTTTAATGTCAGCTATCCTATACACAAACCTTGTATCTAAATGCAAGCCCCACTATGCAGACTGAACAGAACAAACGGCAGCTTTCTAGATGTTCCTGTATACCAACTCCCATCAGCTGTATTCATGATGTCAAATCATGAGGAATACAGGAGTTGCAGACCAGCATATGGAGGGCCAAATAAAAGGACATGGAGGGCCAGATTCAGACCCTGAGCCTTGAGTTTGACACATTTGCTCTAGTCAAACCAGGAAAGAGGTTAGCACATTTTTGGAAGTACTCTCTCAATCAGTGAAATACATTAATTTGTCACATCAACCTGTTCTGTTATCAATCTGACAATGAGTGTCTATTGTTTTGTGATTGCTCGCTGGAGCATTTAAGCGTAATTCCTTCAGTACCTCTGATCCAAACATGCTGACCAGTTCTTGTTGGGTGATTAAGGTGGTAGGAGAAGTCTTCATATCAGACAAAAGAAGGTTGCAAGTTTCAATCCAGTCCAGGCACTCTGTCTGTAAATATAAAGGAGAAGCAATCGGTCGCTAAAAGATAAAAGTAATATATTTTCCATATTATGGTAATTTGGTCAGGTGCAAGTAGAGCATTTCACACAGGATTGGCGAAAAGAAAAGAGAAACTTCAATGGATGACAGTTGAAAGTCTTCAAATTATTAAGGACAGCCAAGAGGCCAAATTAAAAGGTGTCAGAAGTAGAGTCGGAACCTTGAGGGCAACTGTTCAAAAACTTGGACAGAGGGGCAAATACTGTATTGTTCTATTCAAAGTCTCAATACCACCATCAGAAAAAAAGCCTTATTAATATATTTTTAAAAGCATATGTAATTCTAAGATGAAGCCCATTTTTACAGATATTTTTCGGGGGGGGGGGGTGTCTTAATACTGAAGAAATGGTTGGTAGGCTGCAGTTCATGAAAGGCAAAAACAAAGAAAATTTTGATCTTTAATATGCCACACAATACTTTTGTTGTTGAAGTGAACCGCATATCTCCTCTTGGAAAATGGTAAATAATACTTTTTCCAGTGTCAGGCACTTTTTAATGATTATAAAAGAGCTAAATATCTGTGGTAATTTATACATACGAAGGCTGTTCCTTATTCTGTTTCAATTAAGATATAAAAATGTCTTAACAAAGAATAGTGCCTAAAGTCTTACATACTTTGATCTTCTCCAACTGTTGCAGCTCGTGGTCTGCATCCGGATCAAAATCAGCCATTTTCTTGCGTGTTATTGATGCAACCATCTCCTTGCAACAGCTATGGAAATAGATAAGGTTAGTCAACCTATACTAATGTATCAAATCCTAACACTCCTATATTAATGCCCTCCTATCTGCTATATAAGGAGCCCCCGGTGGCGCAGTGGGTTAAAGCTCTGTGCCAGCAGGACTGAAGACCGACAGGTCACAGGTTCGAATCCGGGGAGAGGCGGATGAACTCCCTCTATCAGCTCCAGCTCCTCATGCGGAGACATGAGAGAAGCCTCCCACAAGGATGATAAAAACATCAAATCATCCGGGCATCCCCTGGACAACGTCCTTGTAGACGGCCAATTCTCTCACAACAGGAGCGACTTGCAGTTTCTCAGGTCGCTCCTGACACGCCAAAAAAAAAATCTGCTATATTCACCGAACACAACAGCAATTGCAAAATGCAAGAGAACTGCAGGTCAGCAAAGCTAGGGTAATTTTTTGTTGTTTCCAATCTAACCTCTATGCTAAGTTTATTAAGCTGTTTTATTATAATTTCATTGCACACACTGGAAGGGATATTATGAATCGAATTGGCATAATATGTACGTTGAGTATTTTGTGGTAGAATACAAATTATTTGGAGATTTTACTAATTATAATCCTTCCGTCTAAGATTAAAAAGTCCTTTGTTTTGTAAATATATCTTTAACAATAAGCATTTTTCCTAGTAATTTTTTATGTTTATATTTTGTTTTGTTAATCTTATGGTTATGTTGTTTTTTACTTTGTATGTTTTGTGATGCTACCTGGGAACCGCTCTGCGTCCCCTCGGGGAAATGGAGCAGTATATAAATAAAGTTATTATTATTATTATTATTATTATTAAATGAACATATTCCCGACATTGGTTTTTTTCCAGCATCCCCACAATCTATTTCAATCTATACAATATCTGTTGCCTTGCAAGGACACAGGATACAGCCAAAGAACAAAGACAAAAAATGAGAGGAAACCCATTAAAGCAATGGTTCTCAACCTGTGGGTCCCCAGATGTTCTGGCCTTCAACTACCAGAAATCCTAACAGCTGGTAAACTAGCTGGAATTTCTGGGAGTTGTGGGCCAAAACACCCGGGGACCCACAGATTGAGAACCATTGCATTAAATCATAGGGATTTAATTATATGCTGGCTCAAAATTGTTAGGATTAATACTGGATTCTGGATCTTATTAAGCACATGAAGGTCAGAAAACAGCAATACCTGACGATGTAACAGGAGAATTTGCTTAATTTCGCAGCTAAACTTTTGGCTTCTACTTCCAAATTGAAAATGTTTAACAACTTCTGTTCTGCCTGCCTTGCAGCCTCAGCTTCAGTTAAGGGGAGAGTGTTGTGAGAAATGAAGTCTGGCACCATGTGAATCAACAAGCTCGCCATCCACTTGCTCAGAGCATTATGGAAGTCAGTCAGCTGCAGGAAATAGAAAACAAGGAAAATTCAAGATCTCTCAAGTCACAACATGAATATTAAGACAAGCCACTCTAAACACCTTCGCAGAAGCATATGAGAAGCTCGGCCTGTCATTGAAAATCGAGAAAACCAAAGTGCTGTCCCAGCAGTCACCAGCCAACCCCTCCCCAATGCCAGAAATACAGCTTAATGGTGTAACATTAGAAAATGTTGACCATTTCCGCTACCTTGGCAGCCACCTCTCCACCAAAGTCAGCATCGACACCAAAATACAACACCGCCTGAGCTCTGTGAGTGCAGCATTTTTCCGAATGAAGCAGAGAGTGTAAGAGGACCGGGACATCCGTAGGGATACCAAGGAGCTTGTTTATAAAGCTATTGACATAGAATCATAGAATCAAAGAGTTGGAAGAGACCTCATGGGCCATCCAGTCCAACCCCCTGCCAAGAAGCAGGAATATTGCATTAAAATCACTCCTGACAGATAGCCATCCAGCCTCTGTTTAAAAGCTTCCAAAGAAGGAGCCTCCACCACACTCCGGGGCAGAGAGCTCCACTGCTGAACGGCTCTCACAGTCAGGAAGTTCTTCCTCATGTTCAGGTGGAATCTCCTCTCTTGTAGTTTGAAGCCATTGTTCTGTGTCCTAGTCTCCAGGGAAGCAGAAAACAAGCTTGCGCCCTCCTCCCTGTGGCTTCCTCACACATATTTATACATAGCTATCATATCTCCTCTCAGCCTTCTCTTCTTCAGGCTAAACATGCCCAGCTCCTTAAGCCACTCCTCATAGGGCTTGTTCTCCAGGCCCTTGATCATTTTAGTTGCCCTCCTCTGGACACATTCCAGCTTGTCAGTATCTCTCTTGAATTGTGGTTCCCAGAATTGGACACAATATTCCAGTTGTGGTCTAACCAAGGCGGAATAGAGGAGTAGCATTCCTTCCCTAGATCTAGACACTATGCTCCTATTGATGCAGGCCAAAATCCCATTGGCTTTTTTTGCAACCACATCACATTGTTGGCTCATGTTTAGCTTGTTGTCCACGAGGACTCCAAGATCTTTTTCACACGTTCTGCTCTCGAGCCAGGCATCGTCCCCCATTTTGTATCTTTGCATTTCGTTTTTTCTGCCTAAGTGGAGTATCTTGCATTTGTCACTGTTGAACTTCATTTTGTTAGTTTTGGCCCATCTCTCTAATCTGTCAAGATTGTTTTGAATCCTGCTCCTGTCCTCTGGAGTATTGGCTATCCCTCCCAATTTGGTGTCATCTGCAAACTTGATGATCCTGCCTTCTAGCCCTTCATCTAAGTCATTAATAAATATGTTGAACAGGACCGGGCCCAGGACGGAACCCTGCGGCACTCCGCTCGTCACTTCTCTCCAGGACGAAGAGGAAGCATTGGTGAGCACCCTCTGGGTTCGTCCATTTAACCAATTACTGATTCATCTCACCGTAGTTTTGCCTAGGCCACATTGGACTAGTTTGTTTGCCAGAAGGTCATGGGGGACCTTGTCGAAGGCCTTACTGAAATCCAGGTACGCTACATCCACGGCATTCCCCGCATCTATCCAGCTTGTAACTCTATCGAAAAAAAGAGATCAGATTAGTCTGGCATGACATGTTTTTGATAAATCCATGTTGACTATTAGCGATGACCGCATTTGTTTCTAAGTGTTTGCAGACCACTTCCTTAATAATCTTTTCCAGAATCTTGCCTGGTATCGACGTGAGGCTGACCGGACGGTAGTTGTTTGGGTCATCCTTTTTTCCCTTCTTGAAGATTGGGACCACGTTGGCCCTCCTCCAGTCTGCTGGAACTTCTCCCGTTCTCCAAGAACTCTCAAAGATGATTGCCAATGGTTCCGAAATGACTTCCGCTAGTTCCTTCAGTACTCTTGGGTGTAGTTGATCTGGCCCTGGGGACTTGAACTCATTTAGAGCGGCCAGGTATTCCTGGACGACTTGTTTCCCAATTTGGGGTTGGATGTCCTCTAATCCCTCATCCACTCCATCTTGCTGAGGTTGAAGATGACCTTCTTTTTGTGAGAAGACCGAGGCAAAGAAGGCATTAAGTAGTTCTGCCTTTTCCCTACCCCCTGTCAGCATTGCCCCATCTTCTCCTCGAAGAGACCCTATCGCCTCCTTGTTTTTCCTTTTTCTACTGACATAAGAAAAGAATCCCTTTTTATTGTTTTTAATGTCCCTGGCAAGCCTGAGCTCGTTTTGTGCTTTAGCCTTGCGGACCTTTTCCCTATAGGTGTTGGCTATTTGTTTGAATTCTTCTTTGGTGATTTCTCCCTTTTTCCACTTGTCCTCCCAACTCTGTTATATGCCTGCAAAACGTGGACTGTCTACAGACATCACATGCAACTCCGGGAACGATTCCATCAGTGCTACCTCCAGAAAATCCTGCAAATCTCTTGGGAAGACAAGCGGACAAACGTCAGCGTGCTGAAAGAAGCAAAGACCACCAGCACTGAAGCGATGGTCCTTTGCCATCAACTCCACTGGACCGGCCATGTTGTCAGGATGCCCGACCACCATACCCCAGAGAAGTTGCTCTATTCCGAAATCAAGAACGGAAAACAGAATGTTGGTGGACAGGAAAAGAGATGACCAAAAATATTAAAATTTGTATGGCAAGGAAAGAAATTGCACTGAGCAGTGGCTGGACTTGATAGTCTGTGAGACAATTACCAACTATATTCCATAATTTCACAAATATTTAAGAGTTTTATTTCCCACTACAATACTGGGAAAAACTATTTTCTTCCTTCTTTCATTGTTTTTTTAAAAAGTTATTCTCTTTTTTTTTTCAGGAAAAGGTGAGTCCTCTTCGGGGTTGAGAATGGCAATGTACAAATACCGCAAATAAATGAAATAAATAATAGAAAACAACACTTTGTTCCCAAATCAGCCATTGAAGAAACCACTATTTTTTTCTATGAATGATTAGCACACTAGTCTTCACAAAACAGCTTTGAGTAAAATAAGACTCTGCCCTATGATTTTGTTCGTTGTGACAAAAGCATTTCAGTTTCACCCAATACAGAGAAAAGGAAACAACAAAATATGTCTATAATGTTAAAGTCTGAAGCGAAGCCTCCAATTCTACATAAGCTACAAGCATGCCCTGCTAATAAAACTTAAGAAATACAGGTATCCATACTTCCTTTGTGAGCTGAACAGTTTCTCTTTCAGAACCACTAGTTGTTGTCAGGATCCAATGCTGAATCTTCTTGAACAATTCTTCTGGTTCGACCCTTAAGATAAACAGTGAAGAAATCATAGTCAAACACTGTGTTTCTACATTAAGGACTCCCAACTTTCGAAACCAGGGGTGGGGAAAAAGTGGTGTGTAGATTACCAGCATCTCCCAACCACATTTTTGCAGAACTCCCTATAGTGCATCTCAAAGCCCCTTGGGCTTTATCAAAAAAATTTTTTAAATCACCCCCAAATTACACCAACCACCCAAAACTGTTTTTAAAATGCAGATTGAGTCAATTTGTCCCTTACAAGTCCTCACACTCTGAGGCAACATATTCAATTGCTAAACAGCTCTTCTGGTCAGGAAGTTCTCCCTAATGTTTAGGTAGAATCTTTTTTTCCCCTGCAATTTGAATCCATTGCTCCATTGTGTCCTAGTCTCCAGGGCAGCAGAAAACAAGCTTGACCCTTCTTCAATGTGACATCTTTTTAAATATTTAAACATAGCTATCATCCCCTCTCAACCTTTTCTTCTTCAAGCTAAACATACCCAGCTCCCTGAGCCATTTCTTGTTACATCCTGATTAGACTACTGCAATGTGCTCTACATGGGGCTGCCTTTGAAGACTGCCCAGAAACTTCAGTTAGTCTAACGATCAGCAGCCAGGCTGCTCACCAGAGCAGTGTACAGGGAGCATACAACTCCATTGGTTGCCAATCTGCTTCCGAGCACAATTCAAAGTGCTGGTTTTAACCTTTAAAGCTCTAAACCAGGGGTCCTCAAACTAAGGCCCGGGGGCCTGATACAGCCCTCCAAGGTCATTTACCCAGCCCTCACTCAGGGTTAAACTAGGTCTGAAATGACTTGAAAACACACAACAACAACAACAATCATCAGCCAAAAGCAGGCCCACACTTCCCACTGAAATATTAATAAGTTTATATTTATTAAAATTGTTCTTCATTATTAATTATTGTATTGATTTTAAGTGTTTTGCACTACAAATAAGATATGTGCAGCGTGCATAGGAATTAATTCATTTTTTTTCTCAAATTATAATCTGGCCCTCTGTTTAAAAAGTTTGAGGACCCTTGCTCTAAACGGTTCAGGCCCAGACTACATGTCTGAACGTATCTCTTACTATGAATCATCACGAAGTTTAAGATCATCTGGAGAGGCCCTGCTCTCGATCCCACCGATGTCACAAACGCGATTGGTGGAGACGAGAGACAGGGCCTTCTCAACAGTGGCTCCCCATCTGTGGAAATCAAACTGGCCACCTCCCTCCTGTCCTTTATTTTTTTAAGGTTTTAAAATTTTTATTTACATACAATAACAACCACCATGATTCCGTAGTGGTAACAAGATAAAGATGTGTGTCTGATTGTTAAAACACCATGAAACAAATTAGAAACCTCGGTGAAGGCTGACAACTTTGATTACTAAAGGGAAGAAACAACCAGCAAACCTTAAATTTCAAACATCTCTGGGTCTTAATGTTAGTGTGAACAAAACACAAAATAGGGAAGATTTTACAAACACATAGCCCCACCACCAAGGCCCAAACAAGTATCCTTTCCTTCACCATATATTTATAAATCAACCATTAATCAAATGTCATATCCAAAATTCCAGATCAACAGGGTTATATTGTTTTCCATTTTTACACTCTAAAGCAGATTTAATAAAGACCGACCAGTATGCCTCAAAATCCAATCTGTTAATTTCCTCCCTGAATACCCTCATTTCCATTGTTAGTTTATCATTTAAGGCTACTTTAATACCTCCCTATACCATGCTTCCAGTGTTAGATTAGTTATTATTTTCCAGTTCCTTGCTATTATAATTCTTCCTACTATGAATAAAATAATCACCAATTCTTTCTTACTCGTTTCTAAATTCAACATCGTGGTGTCCATTATTAATGCTAACCTAGCATCCGGAGTAATATTTGATCCTATAATGTTGTTTATTTTGATAAATATATCCTTCCAAAAACTCTTCACTTGGGGGCATTCCCACCATAAATGAAAATATGTCCCTTTGTGCTTGCCACATCTCCAGCACAGGTTACTTTGCTTGCTATCCATCTGATGTTGTTTGACTGGCATAGTATACTATCTCCATATAACTTTGTATACATTTTCTTTTAATCTTATTGATAGGTTCTTAGCCACTCTCCACTTCAGGACCCTTTTCCAATCAAAATCTGTCAGAGGCCCTAGGTCTCCTTCCCATACCTTTTCTAACTGCTTCAGCCCCATTTCTTCGCCAATTAATCCCCTCCTGTCCCTTAGAAGGAAACTCAAGACTTGGCTGTGGGACATTGCATTTGACCATTGAATAGTGGCTTGTATGAAGAATCATAGAATCATAGAATCAAAGAATAAATAGAGTTGGAAAAAACCTCATGGGCCATCCAGTCCAACCTCCTGCCAAGAAGCAGGAATATTGCATTCAAATCACCCCTGACAGATGGCCATCCAGCCCCTGTTTAAAAGCTTCCAAAGAAGGAGCCTCCACCACACTCCGAGGCAGAGAGTTCCATTGCTGAACGGCCCTCACAGTCAGGAAGTTCTTCCTCATGTTCAGATGGAATCTCCTCTATTGTAGTTTGAAGCCATTGTTCCGCATCCTAGTCTCCAAGGAAGCAGAAAACAAGCTTGCTCCCTCCTCCCTGTGGCTTCCTCTCACATATTTATACATGGCTATCATATCTCTCTCAGCCTTCTCTTCTTCAGGCTAAACTTGCCCAGCTCCTTAAGCTGCTCCTCATAGGGCTTGTTCTCCAGACCCTTGATCATTTTAGTCGCCCTCCTCTGGACACATTCCAGCTTGTCAATATCTCTCTTGAATTGTGGTGCCCAGAATTGGACACAATATTCCAGGTGTGGTCTAACCAAAGCGGAATAGAGGGGTAGCATGACTTCCCTAGATCATTAATGCAGGCCAAAATCCCATTGGCTTTTTTTTTGCCACCACATCACATTATTGGCTCATGCTTAACTTGTTGTTCACGAGGACTCAAAGATCTTTTTCACACGTACTGCTCTCGAGCCAGGCATCCCCCATTCTATATCTTTGCATTTCGTTTTTCCTGCCAAAGTGGAGTATCTTGCATTTGTCACAGTTAAACTTCATTTTGTTAGTTTTGGCCCATCTCTCCAATCTGTCAAGATCGTTTTGAATCCTGCTCCTGTCTTCTGGATTATTGGCTATCCCTCCCAATTTGGTGTCGTCTGCAAACTTGATGATCCTGCCTTCTAACCCTTCATCTAAGTCATTAAGAAGACATAAGCCATTTCGAAGTGACAATGAATTGACCTGGATCAGGATTTTAATTGGCGTGTTTTAACACCTGTTTATTTAATGTTTTGTTTTAATGAATTATGATGGCACCAAATGGTGTTTGCTGTGAGGCCACCCCGAGTCCCCCCTCGGAGGTGAGAAGGGTGGGGTACAAGTATATACAATAAATAAATTAATTAATTTCTCATAAGACTTTTTAGCATTTTTGTCAATCTTCTCCAGACGCATTCCAGCTTTTCCATATCCTAGTAGATATTGTCACTTAGGAGAGCATCATCATATAAAGACTAACAATCCTAGAAACAGAAAACTAGTCCACCAATTTGCCTGCCGTGCTGGATTTCTCTTTGTGAGACATTTTCAAAGAAGACGACATTAAAACCTGCAATCTCATTCTAGAAGTCTAAAGTGGGTTCAGTACATTCCAGCACTTAATTCCGCTACACATAAAGCTGTGGCAAAAGCAAAGCTTTTCAAACCCAAATCCCAGCAATGAAGACAATTCAACAATGAAGACTCTCAATACCAGCTAAGATGTACAAAAGGAGAGCTCTGGCAAACCTCACTGTTAACAGCAGAAAAGGGATCTAAAGACCTCTTCCTTGCTTTTCAGAACAGGACAAATGTTTCTGGATTTCAGCATTCTCCTAAAAACTACTGTTTAACACCGTTCAATTACATCCACACATACATGAGATTTTGACTGAGGATTCAGAAAGGAAACCGTCATATGAATAATAGTAATAATAATAATAATAATAATAATAATAATACTTTATTTATGCCCCCGCCACCATCTCCCCAAGGAACACGGAGCGACTTACATGAGGCCAAGCCCAGCAGTACATCAATAAACAAAAACAATAAAACAAAAACAATAAACAAAGCAAAAATGCAATACAATTAATATAAATCACATATAAACAATAACCAACATCTCTATAAAAATTTATCCAGATAAATAATAGAATCATAGAGTTGGAAGAGACCTCATGAGCCATCCAGGCCAACCCCCTGCCAAGAAGAAAGGAAATTGCATTCAAAGCAACCCCGACAGATGGCCATCCAGCCTCTGTTTAAAAGCTTTCAAAGAAGGAGCTTCTACCACAATCCAGGGCAGAGAGTTCCACTGCTGAATAGCTCTCACAGTCAGGAAGTTCTTCCTCATGTTCAGACGGAATCTCCTTTCTTGTAGTTTGAAGACATTGTTCCGCGTCCTAGTCTCCAAGGAAGCAGAAAACAAGCTTGCTCCCTCCTCCCTGTGGCTTCATCTCAGATATTTATACATGGCTATCATATCTCCTCTCAGCCTTCTCTTCTTCAGGCTAAACATGCTCAGCAATTTAAGCCGCTCCTCATAGGGCTTGTTCTCCAGACCCTTGATCATTTTAGTCACCCTCCTCTGGACACAATGAAAGCTCTCAAGACAGTGATTGAATGTAGGACACTCCCTGTCCAAAATGACCTCAGAAGCTCTTTAGTTCATGGCTTGTGCAATTAAATCCCTTTTCATCCCGGTTCCCCGTCATGACAATCCTACATTGCCTATCTCCCATTGTTTTTAAATTTTTAATTTTTTATTATGAAGTGGAATTTTTTATGCTTGATGTTGATTTTATATTGCTGTGTTGTTTTTTATATTGGTTTTTGCATTTTATGTTTTGTGTATATTGTGTTTATTGTCTTGATGGGTGTGGTTTCATGTAAGCCGCCTCGAGTCCCCCTGGGTGAGATGGAGCGGGGTATAAATAAGGTATTATTATTATTATTATTATTATTATTATTATTATTATTATTATTAGACAGTAAGAAAAAATGAAAGCTCTCAAGACAGTAAGAAAAAACCGTTCTGAGAAAGATACACTCTTACAGCATAAACTTAATTGAGCTTTGCTTTCGTTCTTCGGGTGTGTTGCTGGTACCAATCCATTTCAAGACATCATCTATCTGGACCACCCATTCAGAAACACTTTGGAAAAATTTTATCCAGCCAGATTCGTGCATTTCACCCTTCTGCTTGGCAGTTACCAGCTTAAATGTCCAGTCCTCTAAACTGTGAAGCAAACCTGTTAAAATCCTAGCAGACCCTGAAAGAGCACAAAAAAATAAAATAAAATAAAATGATGGAGAAGAACAAAAACTATTGGTAAGTAATGCATTAAGGCTAGGGTAAACATACTGTACATATAGCAATATGCAGATTTAGAGATTTTTATAAGTTACAATGAGTTACAAGTTACTATTCCCTGCCATTAATTAAAGTCAACCACCACATATAACAGTGGTTCTCGTCCTATGGGTTCCAAGATGTTTTGGCCTTCAACTCCCAGAAATTGTAACAACTGGTAAACTAGGTGGTATTTCTATGGGATGGAAATACTGGAAATAATAAGTAAAATAATAATTTCTGGGAGTTGTAGGCCAAAACACCTGGGGACCCACAGGTTGAGAACCACGGACGTATAGGCATTAAAATGAAATAACACATCACTTTCCAAGACTACTCTTCTTGAAAGACCAGTTTAAAAAGTAAGTAGTTGGTTGCTGCCCAATGACCCACTACTAGTAATTCAGGAAGACACTTTGCCTTTTAGATACCCAACTTTAGATCCTTCTATTGACATCTAGGAGCCAAATCTCAGGCCAACTTCACACTAATGCCAGCTCCTGAGTGTTGGGATGGGATTTCAACCTGACAGATACTTTTCAGAATTAGCTTTATCTATAATACGCCTCACTCAAATGTATTAAATTAAATTAAATTTAAATTTAAAATTAATTTTAAATTAATTTTAAATTTTTCAGTTGCTAGTGTACATATGAACAACATACCTGACTTCCAAGATAACATTCTTCTATTTTTTTAACAATGAAAGTTCTTAGGTTTATTCATCAGTGACAACAAAAATAAATAAATTAGGAGTGTAGTAGAGGCCCCTTCTTTGGAAGCTTTTAAACAGAGGCTGGATGGCCATCTGTCAGGGGTGCTTTGAATGCAATTTCCCTTCTTCTTGGCAGGGGGTTGGACTGGATGGCCCACGAGGTCTCTTCCAACTCTATGATTCTAGGAGCATTTTTAACACTAGCATATATTAGTCAACTGTATTTTTCCATCCTATTTAGTTTTGATCACTTGATTATTATTTTTTCAGGAGTAATAGGTCCCAGATGAGACAAATGTGACACCTGATTCTCGCTTGCTGTCAAAAGTGTTCCTTTATATTGTGTTAATTTGCTTTATTTATTTTATTTTGCTACTGTACCTATTTTAGGCTCTACTACTCCCTTTCACTGCATACATACAATGGTCTTGCTTCCACACTACTTAGAAAATCATTTTCATTTGTTCTCTAGACTCTTCCTCTTCCCAAGGAAGTCTTTTAGGGAAAGCCCAACCATTTCTCACCGTTCTCCCCGCCCATCCTTCTGCGGTACTCTTCACAAAGCGTATTGGATTTTTTGTTGATTTCTTCCAGCTTTTTCAACTCCGGAGGCATCTTGCCATGGAGATCTTTGTGGCGGCCAAGTACAGCAAGTCCCAAGTCCACCCACTGTTTTTGTAGATTGGCAGCTGTTTTGAGGGGCTCTTGTCTCACTAGAAGCATTTCCCCTCCATACAGAGCCAACTCCTCAGTCAGTATCTGAAACAAACAAACACACTATAGTCTCCTAAACACAGCCAAGGACTGCATGATTACAGTTCATCCCTCACAAGCAGCCTAAGAGTCCAGGGATCCTTTTTTTCATGTATGCAACCTTTTCTCTGTGGGATGTCTGCCCACTATACATTATTATCCCTTATCCAAAGCTGCTTTTCCCACACAAAAACTACATAGTGTACATGTTCACATCCGTGGGTGCCTATGGGAAATATCATTGCTTTAACTATGCGAATCTTCGTTGCTAGTGTGATGCCTCTACTCTTCACTATTTTATTGAGATTGGTCATTGGTCTCCTCCCAAGAAGTAAGCGTCTCCTGATTTCCTGGCTGCAGTCTGTGTCTGCAGTAATCTTTGCACCTAGAAATACAAAGTCTGTCACTGCCTCCACGTTTTCTCCCTCTATTTCCCAGTTGTCAATCATTCTTGTTGCCATAATTTTGGTTTTTTTATGTTTAGCTGCAACCCAGCTTTTGCGCTTTCTTCTTTCACCTTGATTAGAAGGCTCCTCAGCTCCTCCTTGCTTTCGGCCATCAAAGTGGTGTCATCTGCATATCTAAGGTTGTTAATGTTTCTTCCAGCAATTTTCACCCCAGCCTTGCATTCCTCAAGCCCCGCACATCGCATGATGTGTTCTGCATACAAGTTGAATAGGTTGGGTGAGAGTATACAACCCTGCCGTACGCCTTTCCCAATCTTGAACCAGTCTGTTGTTCCATGGTCAGTTCTGACTGTTGCTACTTGGTCCTTATACAGATTCCTCAGGAGAGAGACAAGGTGATTTGGTATGCCCATACCACCAAGAACTTGCCACAATTTATTATGATCACACAGTCAAAGGCTTTAGAATAGTCAATAAAACAGAAATAGATGTTTTTCTGAAACTCCCTGTCTTTCTCCATACTTCTACATATTTGTTAACAACAACTATTCTACAAATCCTAACAATGACAAATCTGCATAGACGCTCGCCTCACAGTAGTACATAGCCCCACTAACACAGACAGGTAGTTCCAAGTTGGGTAGACAGAAGAATCGAGGGGGGGGGGGGTAGTATATGGCGGTAGTAGCTACAAAAGAAGTAAGGTATTAAAAAATGCATTGCTCTGATTTTGGCTGCCCTCCCTCTTCACTGCTGGGCAATGTTGAAATGACTGCTAGCCTAGTACATCAGCAGAAGTGAAGCTCACAACAACACCTTTTATCAGGTCTAGTTTGGAATACCTGATGATGTAGCATTATTAAATCCAATCAGAGATTGAATGGGAATCTATTTGAAATTCTACATTAGCACCTTTTGAGTTTTCCAAAACAAGAACAACATTGAAATACACTAACAATGATACAGAATTGTAGCACAGGCAGTCCCCAAGTTACAAAAAGGTTTATTCTCAAGTTGAATATGTATGTAAGTCAAAACAGGTACATTTTTAAGTGTAACTCCAGCCAAAATATATTTTTAGCTTTGGATAGCACAGGGAAGAGTTAACACACCTGTGGTATTTGTTTTGCTGTCTGTACCCCGTTCCAAAGATTTCATCTCATTTTATATATCTGTAATAACTGGCTTTTGAATAATCTGGCTTGTTGTGAAAACAAGGATTAGTGAGAAAGCTCCAGTGGAGACACCTTTTTCCCATGATAACTCTTTCAGGAATTAATTTCCTTTCCAATTGGTAGATTTCTCTCAATTCCTGTTGTCTTGCTCCTGTTCTTAACTATGAGTAATTGTAAGTCAGATGTTTGTAACTCAGGGACTGCCTATATTATGATGAGCCAGAAAATCTATCTGTTGTCTATGGACAGGTTTACAAAACACTTAGTATACAAAAAGCAAAGCAAACCCATAAATACTGCACAATAATTAATACAGTGTTAATTGTGAATGGAGTAGAAAACTTTTACCTTTTCCCAGGCTTTGAGATCCACAAGGATTTCATCCAGCAAAGAGAGTCCCTTTTCGGAATTGTAATTTCCTTTCCCACTAAAAAAAATCAAGAAGATGGAACTACATGGCAAAACATTTAACCATGATACCTCTAAATTTTATAGATATTTGTTATATATGCTGTTTGAGTTGTACTGTTTTAATACATTGTGAGCTGTTTTCAGTCTCGTTTAGAGAGAAAAGAGGGATATAAATAAAGAATTATTATTATTATTATTATTATTATTATTATTATTATTATTATTATTTGTGAATAAATCTATTCCGTATGAAGATCTTACCTAAGCGACTATAAATTAAACTTATAGAAATGATTAAAACCCCCACCAACTGCTTTTATCAAAGACACCATCACCTCAAATTTTGTTGGTAATCATTGTGCATCAGGAAACATACCATCCATGTCCAATAGTCTGGTGGAATTTTGCTAGATTTTTGCAGGGACAACATACTAGTTTATGGTGAGGGTCTAGGAGCTCATTGTTGGGAATCTGAACTATGTGAAAAAAAATTCTGGTGGAAATTATAAACACCTATGGTAACCCCCTCACCCTTATATAGTATTTGAAACCTAGATTATCTACCTAGAAGTAAATGAGATGGTGACTCAGGACAAATTAAAGAAAATACTTTTTCCACAGTATTCACTTAAACCACAAAATTTACTATCACCAGATGTAGCAATTGCTCCCAACACATATCATTTTAAAATAGAATTAAATGTACTGTACATATGATAAGAATGTCAATCAGTATGGCAATCACTATTATCTACAGCAGTGTTTCTCAACCTTCCTAATGCTGCGACCCCTTAATCCAGTTCCTCATGTGATGGTGACTCCCAACCATAACATTATTTTCGTTGCTACTTCATAACTGTAATTTTACTACTGTTATGAATCGTCATGTAAATATCTGATATGCAGGATGTATTTTCATTCACTGGAACAAATTTGGCACAAATACCCAATAAGCCCAAATTTGAATACTGGTGAGGTTGCGGGAGATTGATTTTGTCATTTGGGAGTTGTAGTTGCTGGGATTTATAGTTCACCTATAATAAAATTGCATTCTGAACTCCACCAATGATGGAATTGAACCAAACTTGGCACACAGAACTCCCATGACCAACAGAAAATACTGGAAGGATTTGGTGGGCATTGACTTTGAGTTTGGGAGTTGTAGTTCACCTACATCCAGAAAGCACTGTGGACTCAAACAATGATGGGTCTGGACTCAATATACCCAAATAGGAACACTGGTGTGGAGTTTGGGGAAAATAGACCTTGACATTTGGGAGTTGTAGTTGCTGAGATTTATAGTTCACCTACAATCAAAGAGTATTCTGGACCCCACCAATGACAGAATTGGGCCAAACTTACCAAACAGAACTCTCATGACCAACAGAAATTACTGTGTTTTTTGATGATCTTTGGCGACCCCTCTGACACCCCCTTGCGACCCCCCCAGGGGTTCCGACCCCAAGGTTGAGAAACACTGATTTCCAGTGTCATCTGTCACTTGTTGTTTAGTCATACTCCCTTTCCAAAAGGATAGTTAATGTGACTCACTAAAACAAAAAATGATTAAAAACAAACTCTTGATTACACTGGCCAACACACAAATATTAGACCTGTTTCTGGATATATTTACCTGCTGATTCCAAAAATGGTACCAGTTTCTCCCTATCAGCTCTAGTTTTTGAGATGTAGAACATATGCTGTCTACCAGGCCCATAATAGCCATATCTAAGAAACTAGAGCTGATGAACTCTATCCAGTGCAATTTTCTGAATCAGCACCACAAATAACCTCAGGAACAGCCTAAAAACCAAGACACCAATTTTTTTGTTGGGCTGTGTAATGCAAAAAATTACTAATGCCTGCCTGAATAAAAAGGCTCAAACCTATTCATGGTATGGGTAAATATTCTGCTTTGACAATTCTTAACATATGTAGGCCGCATGGGTGATGTCGCTACAGCAGGTGTTCTCAAACTGTGCTCCAGGTAGCACTGATAGTGAGGGGCTCTGCAGTGCCATGCTGCTTCCCACTCCTATTATTATTATTATTATTATTATTATTATAACTATTATTGCAAAGGCTGAATGGCCATCTGTTGGGGGTGCTTTGATTGTGCTTTTGCTGCATGGCAGAAGGAGGTTCGACTGGATGACTTCTGGGATTTCTGCTGCTGCTGCTGCTATTGTTGTTGTTGTTGTTATTATTATTATTATTATTATTATTATTATATTAAGGCTGGGTGACCATCTTTTGGGAATGCTTTGATTGTGCTTTTGCTGCATGGCAGAAGGAGGTTGGACTGGATGACTTCTGGGATTTCTGCTGTTGTTGCTGCTGCTATTATTATTATTATTATTATTATTATTATTATTATTATTATTATACTAAGGCTGGGTGACCATCTGTTGGGAATCGTGCTTTTCCTGCATGGCAAAAAGGGGTTGGACTGGATGGCTTCTGGGGTCTTCCACTGTAATACTCTTAAGTTTATGTTGGTTAAAATTATTATTCATTTTAAATATTATATTCTTCTCCCCCCCCCCCCTTTTTTTTTTTTTCTTTTGAAAAACACTCTCCATCCATCTGCTACTGGTCCGGTCCATGCCTGATACATATATATCCATTATGTATAATATAATATATAATATATAAACACTTCTTGGGGCATCACAAGAAACTTTAGCTTCAAAAAGGGCTCAATGGCTGAAAAAGTTTGAGAAGCCCTGAACTATGCTGATGGAGTCCATCTCTAATTTTGACAATGCAAAACCCACCTTAGAAGTCAGGAAGCCATACTAACTGTAGAAGTTCTAAGGTGCTGGTTAGAGTAAAGATTTGGGATAAGTGCCAAGTATTATTATTCCACATTAATATATAGTAGCAAACTAAAAACTCAAAGGACTGTTACAGTTCTCATGTGAGTAGTAAGCAATACAGAAACACTCAATATGAATTGACAATTCCTGAAAACTCACAGAACATGATTATTGAAGTAATTTAGCCATCCAGTCAAACCATTCTGAACACTTCTTGCCCTATCCCTGCAAGTTTCTTCAGTCTGGCCCACTTTTATGCCAATTTGGGTCAAGAGCTCTCGGTACTCCAGTGTCAGCTGCTGCAGAATTGAAAGATCAGTAGCATCCTGAGTGCATCAGAAGGGGAAAAAAGTAAAGGAAAATCATAAGGAAATTGGATTGGATGTTTCAAGTATCATAATAATTATTACAAACTATACATACTCTTTTGTTACACAAAATAGATATTTTAAGAAAGTCTCACCTGTGATTCCAAAAGCATTATGATATGCCTCATGACTTTATGCCATGTTTTTTCACTGCTATACATTCTGCGGGACAAGATCATCTTATTCTTTTCCATCACCTAAAAAGGAATAATACAAAGCGAGATACATGAGATGACAAAATGTTTGCCTACAAACAAGTTACATAAGCCAAGATACCCCCTTGTGCCTCAGACAGGCCCGTAGCCAGGATTTTGATTCGGGGGTTCTGAGTTTAATTTGGAGGGGGTTCTGAGTTTGATTCGGGGGGTGGAGGAAGCTGAGGATCTACCCTAGCAAACCTTTTGTATCATTACCCCAATACTCCCATGCATATGGGATATATTGAGCATGGTGATCAGATCATGATATGAATAAACATAACAGTTTAAATAATGTACCAATTAGGCCTTCTCGTGAACCACCCTGAGAATTTCAGGGGGGTTTGAAGCCCCTCAAGCCCCCCCCCCCCCCCCCCCCAGCTACATGCCTGGCCTCAGAGATGAGGCTTGCCTTTAAAAGTCAATTACTGTACTTTCCTTTGGCAAAGATGTCATCTCTCAGACTCCTGTTTAGAAGGTCATAGGTTTCATAACGCTTTTACTCAAGATGACTCCATAATGAATCATCTAGCAATACAACTAACTTTATTTAAAGGGGTTTTTTTTACAGGGAATCTAACAAATGTGTATTATGAAAAGACTTAGAATTCTACAAGTTAAGACAGTAGGCATTAGACACTGACAACTCTGCTCCAGATTTTTCATTTTTACAATACTTGATTAAATTATGTTTGTTGGTATGCTAATATCATGATATTCCTTGTATATTAGGAAAAACTGTATAACGTAGCACATATCAAGAGAAATCTGTCCCCAAAATAGATGCATATTTTCATTGGTTCATTTATTTTAAAGGTCATAAATTGATGCATAAATTGGATTAAATAAATTCGTGACTAGAAAAAACATTTGAAATGAGAGCTAAAGAAAAAAATCTGTCTTACAAAAATAAAATGGTTCATCAAAGATATCAGTTAAATCTCTCTTATTCTAACTGCAGCCCCTTCTACACTGCCATATAATCCAGATCTTGTTTTTACAGATATATTTGCTTTTTTATATTACATTTTAAATGTTGAATTGATTTTATAATTGTTTTAACTGTATTTTGATATTTGTTATGGCATCGAATTGCTGCTGACTGTGAACTGCCTTGAGTCGCCTCTGGCTGAAAAAGGCAGTATGCAAATACGGTAAATAAATAAATAAATAAATAATCAAAAAAGATAATCCACATTATCTACTTCGAACTGGATTATATGGGACTACACAGCCAGGAAATCCAGTTCTAAGCAGATAATCTGGATTTCATATGCCAATACAGAAGGGGCCTGAGGTACCATGCTTCCTGTTGCCCTTTACTTTACTTAGCTTTAGTTCTCTTTTACCTTTCTCTCTTCGGACTCTTATCTGATCTGTTTACATAGTGAGAAGAACAGAATCACCCATCAATCATCACCAAACACATTTTAAAAAGATGAGTAAGAAGCCTGCACAGCCACAAGACACACTGCTCTCCAGATAGCGATGGAGAAGTAACCAGATCAAAATGATTTTTTCTATTTATTTATTTATTTCTATCCTGCCTTTCTCCGCAATGTGGACCCAAGGCTGCTTACAAGCAGAATACAAACATTAAAATCCTTCAATCAGGAGAACAAAATATATAAAACCAGGATAAAATGACAATCAATAAAAGTCCACATTTCAGTTAAAACCATAACCACCACCACCACCACCACCCCCCGTGTATCACTCCTCCATTTTGATCATAAAATCCCCAACTCCTGCAATGGCTCAATTCAAGGCCTTGTTAAATAAGAAAGTTTTGACCCTCTTCCTAAAGCTGAGCAAAGATGGAGTAGCCCTGTTTCTTCGGAGACTGCACCCAAGAAGCAGCCTTCTCTAGTTATGCGTAAACACATACTGGTATGGGCTCGCATATTGATTTGAGTTTCCCCACTTTATCTAAGTTTGCACCCTGGGATGTATCAGGAGACACGGTGCTCCGGATAGGCTGGACCAACACCATATAGGGACAGGCAACCAACCAGACAGGCAACGAATGGAGTTGCTTCATGATAGGCATAGTACACTCCCTGAAGTTGGCACCTGTCAGATGTGTATATATATTCCCAGAAAGAAAAACACAGTGTCCATTACTTGTGGTAAAGGGACTTTTTTCATAATGGATGGAGACTCTCCTAGAGTTAACCCATATACAGATGCCTTCTTCTGCTACTCAGGAGAAAGAGAAACAATTTCTGCTATATTGCAAGAAATATCCAACTCTCCATCTAAAAATGCTACTTGGAGGAAAAAAATGTGTATTTATTGAGCGAGATCCAAACCATAAGAACATTGTTTGGATAGGCGTTTTTCTTTTGCTTAAAGCAGTAACTATTTAATTCTATAGTCTACTTGAAGAGAAATGGGTACATGTAAAAGCTTTTTGAAAACTGCTACCTTTTGTACAGCTTGTATAGGATGAAATGTAATGTATCCACTCTTTGTTCAAACGATTACATCGGAATAATTTGTAATCTACACTGCCCTGCCTCTGGAAAAGCAACCAGCAATCATGAAAAGACCCTTATCTTTGGACATTCTTTGCATGGACAATAGTAAAGGAAATCCTTTTGTCTTCGGAGTTGGGCCACCATTAGGATTTCTGTTTGGCAGACTTTTTAATCATATAACAATTGGGGGGGGGGGGAATATGACCTTAGGAAAGTCCTCTTTTCCTCCAAGCCGTTTTTCTTTCAAATCTTTCCACTAAGGACATTCACAAAAGTTTCCCCTTTGTGCCCTATCTGAGGGAAAGAGGAAACCTCGGATTAAGCCATCAATGCTTATCACAGACCCATCTCAGGACAATAAAGTTAGTTTCTTTAGAAGGCCAATCCCGGACTCAAGAAGCCCCAGGACATTGGAATTCCATAATCCGCTCCAGAATGCATTGTCTCCCTCCATCCCGTCTCCCTCCCTTCTGATTTGCTGGAGCGTCAAGGCAGCAAGAGCCTCCTGATAGGCTCTGGTGCCCCGCGAAAGCCCTGTGATTGGCCCTGATGCATGGGGGATGGCCAAGCCTCCTCCCAGCTGTTTGTGCGTCAGCCAATCCCCTTCAAGCTGGGCGGGAGGGGGGAGTGGGAATTTTGAAACTCACAACTCTGTATTTTCTATAAAAATGGCCTTTATTTCTGTAACCATATGTTCTGCTTGGCGAATGATTGCCGCTCTGCATCTTTTCAGCTGAATCGCTAATAAACCTCGGTGGCACTTCCTTCAACTTGGTGAGACCTTTTATTGGGAAAAATCAGGAATTGGGTGCTTCTCTGTCTTGCCAGGGAAAAAGAACTCTTTGATGAGTCTAATTGGTCTCTGCCTCCTGGCAAAACCCCCTAAATTCCTACTCTATAACAGTAGAACTATCAAACAGCAAGAGCACTACATGCTTCTTTCAGTAGCTACCTTGAGGGCCAAATCGTATGCAGCACTGCTCCATAGTTCTTTCTCATAGGTTAACTGTTGAATCTGAGCCTCAAGTCTTCTTCTCTGCAATTCATACAGTTGACGATATTCATCCAGAAAGCTAAAGGAGTAAGACATAAAATATAATATAAAAGATATGCCAACATTTGCCTAAGAGAGTATCAGTTTCCTTCATAATATATCAAATGGTCAGCTGGGTGGTGGAAGGCTGGCGGATTGTCACCCATTCTTTGCAAAATCAGGTTATTAACTAGATAAGAATGTGAGCAAGCAAACTTTTTTTTTAAGCTTTGGACAATCCTGACAAAGAGCCTGGTTACTCAGCATTGTTATCACATGAAAAATAGTCAAACTGTTGTAAAATTTGAATAGCTATAGTATTGTTATGCTGCTTGACACTGAAGGAAATGTTGAAAACATTTGCCATGATACTACAGGCAGTCCCTGAGTTACAAATTTCCAACTTACATTCAACTTCTAGTTACAAAGAAAGATGAGAAAACAGGAAGTGAGAGAAACGTAACCCTTGGAAGGGAAACTCACTCTTGGAAGAGTTATTACCATGGGGGAAAGGTCTCTGCTGAAGCTTTATCATCAATGCTTGTTTACATAACAAGCCACATTTTTCAAAACCCAATTATCAAAGGGACAGAAAGTGAGGTGAGATCTTCTGAACAGCAAAACAAACCCTACAGGGTGATAACCGTTCCCTATGCTATCCAAAACTTTAAAAAATATTTGGTTGGAATTACACTTAAAAAATGTACCTGTTTTGATTTACATATAAATTCAACTTAAGAACAAACCTACAGTGCCAATCTTGTTCATAACCCAGGGATTGCCTGTGCTTTGCCAATTATAAAATCATCCTTAAAATGCTCTTTAAGATTATTTGTTTTGGCAATGACAATTCAGGATTGCAAAGTTAATAAATCGGTACTAACTGTGGCAACATTGCTTGTGTTGCCATTATATTTGATTTTTTTCCATGGATTTCTGCTGAAACAATGTCTCATATGTTATTTCTCTGTCCTCAATACAGATATTTTTCAATATTTTACCATGGTGAATCGACACAGTAGAATTAATGAAGTTTGCCAGCACTTTAACTGACAGGGCTCAATGCTACGGAACCATGGAAGTTGTAGTATTACAAGGTCTCTAGGTCTTTCTCTGCCAAAGAGTGTTGCTGCCTTACCAATTCCAGGATTCCATAACACTGAGCCATGGCAGTTAAAGTGCTGTCAACCCGCATTCATTCTACCGTGTAGATGTACGCAATGTCTAATGCGGGTGGTGCAATGGGTTAAACCAGGGGTCCTCAAACTAAGGCCCGAGGGCCGGATGCAGCCCTCCAAGGTCATTTACCCGTCCCTCACTCAGGGTCAACCTAAGTCTGAAACGACTTGAAAGCACACAACAACAACAACAACAACAACAACAACAACAACAACAATCCTATCTCATCAGCCAAAAGCAGGTCCACACTTTGTTTAAATTGTTCTTTTTAATTATTGTATTGCTTTTAAGTATTTTTTGCACTGGAAATAAGATATGTGCAATTTGCATAGGAATTCATTCATGCTTTTTTCAAATTATAATCCGGCCCTCCAACAGTTTGAGGCACTGTGACCTGGCCCTCTGTTTAAAAAGATTGAGGACCCCTGGGTTAAACCCTTGTGCTGCTGAACTGCTGACCTGAAGGTTGGCAGTTCAAATCAGTGGGACGGGGTGAGCTCCCACTGTTAACCCTAGCTCCTGCCAACCGAACAGTTCAAAAACATGCAAATGTGAGTAGATCAATAGGTACCGCAATGGCGGGAAAGGCAAAAAGACCCTCCATCAAATCATGCCGGCCACATGATCAGGAGGTGTCTACAGACAACACTGGCTCCTCAGCTTGGAAATGAAAATGAGCACCTCCCCCAGAGCCGAAGATGAGCACTGGCTCCAGAGCCGGAAATGAAAGGCGAAGCCTTTGCCTTTGTCTGTGTATGTGTGTGTCATTGCATTTCATTGTAACAAGACATTGAATATTTGCATGTGTCTGTTTATATGTTGTAATCCACTCTGAGTCCCCTCGGGGAGAAGAGCTGAATATAAATAAAGTGTTGTTGTTATTCATTGAACATAATTGTTTTCTTTCTATCTGAAATAATGATAGTAAAATAAGTGTACAACTTTAAAAATTGGTTGTTGTAGGTTTTTTCGGGCTATATGGCCATGTTCTAGAGGCATTCTCTCCTGACGTTTCGCCTGCATCTATGGCAAGCATCCTCAGAGGTAGTGAGAACTTCACTACCTTTGAGGATGCTTGCCATAGATGCAGGCGAAATGTCAGGAGAGAATGCCTCTAGAATATGGCCATATAGCCCGAAAAAACCTACAACAACCCAGTTATTCTGGCCATGAATGCCTTGGACAAAACTTTAAAAATGTTTTGACCTGTAGTACCACATGAAGGTATTGACATTATGCCATTGTTCGTAATCTGGGGACTGCCTGTATAGTGCAGGAAAGAAGGACATGTTGTTTGATCACTTGCCAGCTCACTCAGATAATTATTCCCAACAATTAAGAACCAGGAATAACAACTAAGAACCAGGAATAACAAGTCCAACAGCAATTATTTATACTGTGGCATGGCTTTAAGAAAAAAAAGATTCTCAGCTTTCCTCTGCTATTGAAAACTATAAATGCCTTCAGAATTGTCAGATCAATAACTGACTTTTTCATATGGTGAATGTGGTAAATTACACTTATTCTACTACATAAAATTGCAGTCATACTCTGATCAGATTTAAAGAGTAATTATTCTGAAACTGTCAGGCTGTCTAGTGAGAGAATATCTAACAGAAAAAACTAACAAACTTTCAAATTAAAACCCAATTCTTATTGCTAATGCACTAGAGAATTTGGATAAGAAGAAGTAGGGCTCTGTGGCACTTCCTCGGTTGTATCGATTCCTTTTTTAAAAATTATAACCAGAAATATACCTCAAGGCTAATTTTTTTTTACCTGCAAGCTCACAAACCTCACAGCTGAATCCTACTAAAAAGTGAGAATCATTTCATGAAGCTATTTAGAAAAGATAAGAAAAGATAAGAACAGAGTGTGAAGTGCAAAAGTATATTCAAGAATGTAATCGTTTATTGCTAAATGTTACTAGTTTGGCTGAAGTGGAGCCATTTTACGATGCACTTCTATCTTATTTTCTGCCACAGCAGAATATGCTGTAACTGCACTACATAGGTCCAGGGTCAGCAGTATGGACAAGAAGATAAGGAATATTTGCAAGCTGACTGCTTTGCCCTGAGAACATCCTGTTGTTTATTGAGACAGGAATGCATATGTTGCAATCGTCAGGAACATCCTCTCCCTTAGAGATAGGGCTTTTGCTATATGTGTTGAAAACAACTTATGTTCAAGCGCAAGTTCAATATATTGTTGTTGCTTCCAAATAACATTTAGCCATCTGGCCAATACTGAACTGACAGTGGAGGATGGGATGGGAGGTCCCTTTGGCCCAAAAATATGTGTTCTGGGTCCACCGGAGGCATGGTTACACCTGACATCTCAACCCAACCCAAGAAAGCTCAAGTTCTATGTGGCTTTAACCAGACTCCCCTCCATGCCAAACTGGAACTCACTTTGCATTCATCTCAGAAGCCTGTATGGCCTTTGACAGCTCCTCATAGGCCTTTTCTGCTTCAAGAGTTGCTTTGCGGTCATGTTCTCGAATAGTATTCAGCTCCCTACAGTTGAACATAGAAATACTTTCAACTGCTTTTTACAACCATAACTTTTATTCACGAAGTGGTGAAGACATTTTTCCTTCATTATTCCAATAATATTTTATTATTTTTATTATTAATTATTATTTATTATTTATTTATTTTATTTCGAGCATTTCTACCCTGCCCTTCTCAACCCCCTAGGGGCAGGCCCGTAGCTGGGGGGGGGGGGGGGGGGGGGGGGGGCTTGAAGGGCTTCAGCCCCCCCCCCCCCGAAATTCCCAGGGTAGTCCGTGAGAAGGCCTTACTGGTACATTATTTAAACTGTTATGTTTACTCCTATCATGACCTGATCATCATGCTCAATATATGCCATATGCATGGGGGTATTAGGATAACAATACAAAAGGTTTGCTAGGGTAGACCCTCTCTCACTCAGACTCAGCCCCCCCCCCGCCCCGAATCAAAATCCAGGCTACGGTACTGCCTAGAGGGGACTTGGGGCGGCTTCCAGCCGGCACATATTCGATGCTTACATTTAAACACAATACAATACATATCACAGTAATTATAAATAGTTAAAACATTATATTATTACAATAAAATCTCATAGAAAAAGCCAATTGTTAACGCCCTCCCAACCACACCACTTATTCCTCAGTCCACATATTTTCTCTATATCTCTAAACATGAGCACAATATGCTCAATATATGCCATATGCAGAGACGTAAATATGGCACGTCTCTGTGCCATATTTACATTGGCTTCTCCATTTTTTATCCATTCCATATGAACCATTCATTTATCTTTAATTTCTCTTATTTTACCCTCCTGCGTATTGTCCTGAATTAAACACACTGTCATGTCAGACTGAACCTGATTGTAAAGGTAATTATTCCAGTTTTCCATAGTCCATTTTCTGTCTTTTCAACCCCATGCTATCATTGTATGTCCTGCTAAAATCATGATTTTAAAACCTTCTTGTTCTTTTATGTCAAACTTGCTGCCAAATACACACATTAGAACCAAATCTATTTATTATTTATTTGTTTACTGTATTTGTATACCGCCTTTCTCAGCCTGTCGGTGACTCAAGGCGGTTAACAACAAATCAGTACACATAATATCATAATACAGGTTAAAATATTAAAACAATAAAACACAACAAAAGCAAGAAAAACAGCATCATTCCCATCTCATTATAAAAAAATCTGTCCTATTCTATCATCAAGTCATTCGATTTCCTATATTAGTTACTCTGCATTTGTAAACGCTTGCTCAAACAACCATGTTTTAACTTTTCTCCGAAACATTAAGAGGGAGGGAGCCGATCTGATCTTCCTAGGGATGGTGTTCCATAGCCGAGGGGCAACCACTGAGAAGGCCCTGTCTCTTGTCCCCGTCTCTCCATATTCACTTGAAGTGATATTTTGAATAGATTTTCCATTTTCTTCACATTTTTTCCCCCAAAAGGCTGTTACCTTTGAACATTCCCACCACACATGGGCATACCAGCCTTTATTTCATCCGCAGTGCTAACACATTAGGCTTGTCCGTGATACAATATATAAAAGTTGGGCTGGGGTTCTATATCATTTCAATATGAATTTCCTTTCCAGTTCTTTGTATTTCTCCATTTTAATTTTCTCAGTCCCCTTCATTAATCTCTCCATTATTTGACTTGTGAGGGGGCCTTCTTTCTGCCATTTAGTTTGTGTTGTTCTTATCGTATATTCATCATCCTTAATCATCAATTTATATACAGATCCTGCCAATCTTTTCTAGAATTTCTGTATTTTTGTAAATATTTCTTCCCTCTTATTTTCTTTCTTTATTTTTTCACCATATTTTCCTGGTTTTAGCTTAGTAATTTTAACCAATTTCTATTTCTAACCTTTTTATTATCTTGCCTGTGAGAATTAACTGACCATTTAAATCATGCATATCTTTAATTTTATAGAAGCCTTTACTCTTCATTTCCTTCCACCAATTAGAATCCTTCTCATATAAGCACTCTAATGGTGTCCACTTAGACATTTCCGGCATTCATTTTGGCTGCCATTTTTTCCAAATTTAAATGCTATTTTCTTGGAGTCATTTTTTAAAAAAATTCTGCCATTGGGTTACTTGTAAACACCCAATTTCCTCCCTATGAAGTGGTGAAGATATAAAGCCCCTCCTCTATCCCAACTGTCACTCTCCTGTCCTTGGAAGGGAAAGAAAAAACAGGCTGCTGTAGCATCAATGGAAGAAAACAATGCCAATCTCCACCCTAATTGTTAATATTTTTCCTTGTGTCTTAGATAAGCCACTCTGAGAGACTTTGCGGCCAAAGGGTGCAGAATAAATACTTTAAATAAAACAAATAAAATAGATTTGAACAAAATGACCAGTCAAGGGAGACCTTGTCAGCTGTCCTATTGCTTCTTTGAAATTGAATAACTCGTCTGTGATGTGTTTGTCCATTACTCTCTGTGCCATCATCTCTTTGTACAGATTCTTCATCTGTCTAGGAATCCGTTCTAGCAATTCAACATATCTTTGTCTGGAAGAGATAGAGCATCACAAAAGAGTTCCATGAACACATTTTCAAGGCAGTTGTTTGAAGGAAGAAGCCTTTTAAAAATATGTTTGGAAAACAACTGAAATAGAAGGAACCCTGTGTATGTTAAAAAAACAAACCCTAAAAATGTAATGCATTCAAGACATTCAATATAAAGGCTATACTGCAAACTAAAACTAATTTATCTATCACTAGGTGTCCTCTGTCACGCGTTGCTGTGGCCCAGTCTGTGTATATGTTTTATGTCTGTATGTATTTGTGTATATGTATATATATGTGTGTGTGTGTATGAGTGTATATATTTGTGTATGTATGTGTTTATATGTGTATATGTATAAGTGTGTATGTATGTGTGCATATGTATATGTATTTGTGTGTGCTTGTGTATATATATGTGTGTGCATGACTGTATGTATGTGTGCATGTGTATATGTATATGAGTGTATGTGTATATGTATGTATGGTTTATTTTGGGGGTTTTAAAGTCCATTCTGCTGGGGATTTTTGTGTCCATTTTTAAGTCCATTCTGCTGGGGTTTTTTTGTGTGTTATTAAGGGTGATGGACACACGTTGGACTGTTAGGTCTATTGTATCAAAATTTCGTGTCAATTCATCCAGTGATTTTTGAGTTATGTTTTTCCCACAAACGAACATTACATTTATATATATAGACTTGCCCTGCTACGCGTTGTTGTGGCGGAGTCTGTGTATATGTATTTTGTGTGTATATATATTTGTGTATACATGTGTGTTTGCTTTTATATATGTGGTTTTGTACATGCGTTGCAATGTTTAGGGGTTTTTTTGTTTTTGGCTTTTTAAGTCTCTTCTGCTGTGTTTTTCAGTGTTTTTATGAGTGATGGTCACTCGTTGGCCTGAGAAGTGTATTGTGTCCAAATTTGGTGTCAATTCATGAGTGGTTTTAGAGTTATGTTAATCCCACAAACGAACATTACATTTATATATATAGATAGATATTAGATATGTCAGCCCTCAAAATCACAAGATTTAGAATTACACTGTTATACAGAGTGTCAAGGTACGTATTAACTGAACTCTCAACACCATGTCAGAAGATTCTTTTTGCAGGCTAAACTGCCTTGAAACACATTTGTTATTTCTTTCAAAAAAAGATTCATGGTTATATAAGTAAATTATAACATTATCACAGTCACGATTACAAAAATAATTCCCCATATATTCTCATAACGTTCTGATTATTCCTGTTTTCGTCTCCTTTACATTTCTATACCTTATCTGCTACTTATAAATATCTAATTTTCCACTTCCCTCTCCCTGCTTTCCTCCGGGAACAGTTGTACCTCTGCTCTTTGTATTATTTTATTTGTTTGATCAAGAAAATTGTCTGATTTAATTCCTTGTAGTTTTTTTTCCCCTTTTATTCTTTCCATAAGCCCTTCCCATTTTGACTCCCAGGTCCTTTTAGGATGTCCATTCACATATTTAATGCTCGTACATTTCAGTTACGTACACACTTAGCAACTAATTACAAAGTAGAATAAGAAATGAAGAGTAGTTAATCCCGAATAAGCCCTATTTTTGCAGAAACTCCCACTTCAGCTCCAATAATCCCTAACAGCTGGTAAGCTGGCTGGGATTTCTGGGAGTTGAAGTCAAATTACCTGGAGGTGCACAGTTTCAGAAACACTGGTATAGCCAAACACTCATTTTCCCCACTTCTCTGTGTAATGTTAAAATGCTGACCTGAGCCTGGAAAGAAGTTCCCCTCGTTCTGCACACTCCACGCTGACTTGTCTGATGATTTCGTGAAATACGATGTTGTAGATGTTCTGTTCCACTTTTAACACTTCCAAGACATTATGCATCTTGGGAAAGGTATAAGAAAAATTATGGCCTTCGAAAAAGTAGGCAGGAAAACATTATTTTAACTTTAGATATCTTAGGAGGAAAAGAATAATGAATTTGAATCACTTAGAATTATAGAGTCATAGAGTTGGAAGAGACCTCATGGGCCATCCAGTCCACTCCCCTGCTAAGAAGTGGGAAAATCACTTGTTTAGAAGCTTCCTGTTTGAATTAAATGTGAATTGGTTTACAGTTCAAATGTCTTCTAGAAACCAAACAGTGGAGGAAACAATACATTTCAGGGGAGCTCAATTAATGACTTCTGTATTTAAAAGTGAAAATAAGGATTTGGTAAACAAAAATCTTCTATTGCTCCTTGAAGGTGGCCCTGCCCAGTGAAATCCTCTGTTTTTTAATTGTATGTTCTATATTGCCTGTTGTCATCTATTATATTTCTTTGCATTTTATGTATTTTATTTTCTGGTTATTGTTATGTTTTTGTATTATAATGTATGTACTGCACTGATGGGTTTGGCCTCATGTAAGCTGCACCGAGTCCCCTTGGGGGAGATGGAGCGGGGTATAAATAAAGTATTATTATTATTATTATTATTATTATTATTATTATTATTATTATTATTATGTGCCGCAAGACTCAAAATAGTGAAAACCCGGAAAAGGCCAGAGAATGTCAATAAAAAATTTTAAAAACAGGATATGAACTACAACCGTATCAAAAAAAGTTAAACTATAATGTAAAATTGAATTTGAATTTTTGCCATTATCTATGTGTAAACCACTTTGAGTCCCCCTCGGGGCGAGAAAAACAGTATATAAATGCTGCTGTAAATAATAAAGTAGCAGAAGGAGAACTGAAAGAATATCTATTTGATAGTACTTAGAAAACATTTCTTAGCTTCATGTGTAATTTGAAGAAAGATTGTGGTTGAGCCATTAATAAACACATTACAATAATTATATGTAATGGATAAAATTAGAATAATGTAGAATAATTATAAGAATTCGAATAATATAGCAGTATCAATAGTAGCAGTATTATTGTAATGTGTTTATTAATGGCTCAATCACAATCTTTCTTGAATTATTCTGATAATAATTGGTATAGCAGTATCAATTATTATTAGAATAATAATTGATACTGCTATAGTTTCAGAATACTATGTAAGTAATAGAAGGATTGGGGGTACAAGTCTTGGAATAGAAGATGCAATAAGACAATTGTACTATGTTCTGGAATAAAAGTCTTTAATTGAAAAAAAGAAAAAAAGAAAAAAATATTCTAGAAAAGTCTGTACTTTACTTCCCAAAAAATATTTTGATATGAAATGTGATATGAGTCCATCATTCTGAGCATTCCAATGAGTTCTGAGTCTAATATTGAAATAACATTTAGCTTTATCTGATTTTTATTATGAAGATACACAATTGGCCACCCAGATCCACAAATTATACATCCATGGATTCAACTGTCAACGGCATGCAAATATTAATAGGAAAAAAACTATTTATCCTGCCATATACTGTTAATGTTAATTTTCTATGGCTAATGTAATAGTTGGCTAGAAATGGCTAACACTGGAATTAATGAGATTTTTATTAAGACTAGGAAAAAATGTTACCTGTGAAAGCCCTGTTATTGCAACATCCTCCTTATCTATTCCAGCCTTTTCCAGCATGCTGTCCATCACCTTCATCAATTGCAGAACTTCTAGTCGCCCAGATGGTTTCCTAAAGCAGAAGAAAAGAAAATACATGAAACTAATTTTTAGACAGATAATTTGAGCCTATTTTCAATCAATCTGGATAATGATAAGAGATAGTGAGCTGTAGAGCATATATAAAAAAACATCTTCAAACCCTATGAGGAACGTCTGAGGGGAGCTGGGTGTCCTTAGCTTGGAGAAAAGAAGGTTGAGAAGAGACATGATAGCCATGTTTAAATATCAAAAAGGATGTCACATTTACTTCTGCTGCTCTGAAGACTAGGATATAGAGCAATTGATTCAAATTGCAAGGAAAAAGATTTCACATGAAGATTAAGAAAGAACTTCCTGACAATAAGAGCTGTTTAGCAGTGGAATATGGTGTCTCAGAGTGTAGTGGATCTCCTTCTCTGGAGGTTTTAAAGCAGAGGCTGGATGGCCATCTGTCAGGAGTGCTTTGATTGTGTGTTACTGCACTGCAGGATGGGGTTGGACTGGATGGCCCTTTTTGTCTCTCCCAACTCTATAATAATAATAATAATAATAATAATAATAATAATAATAATAATAATCAGGAAAGGTGGTCCCAGTGGTGATCGGCACACTGGGTGCAGTGCCTAAAGACCTTGGCCTGCACTTAAACACAATCAGCGCTGATAAGATTACCATCTGCCAGCTGCAGAAGGCCACCTTACTGGGATATACACGCATTATTCGCCAATACATCACACAGTCTTAGACACTTGGGAAGTGTCCAACGTGTGATCCAATACAACAGCCAGCAGAGTGTCTACTGTGGACTCAACTTGTGGTGTTTCTAATAATAATAATAATAATAATAATAATAATAATAATAATAATAACAACAACAACAACAACAACAACAACAACAACAATAATAATTTATTTATACCCCACCACCATCTCCCCAAGAGGACTCAGGGTGGCTTACACGAGGCTAAGCCCAGCAATACAACAATGCAAAAATACACATAAGAATACAACAATACAATATAAGGAAATAAAATAAGCGAAACAGTATAAATAAAAACATCAGACAATATAAAATCACAACATTTGAACACGGAAAGTTGATCACAGTGGGCAGGGCCGGTTGCAGGGATTAAAAGTTTAAAAACACTGGGTGAGAAAACCAGAATAATAAACTTGGAAGGATTCGACTTAAGAGCTGGGTGGCATGCATACCTATGGTATAATAAGAAAAAAAACAGAGAAAAACTTTGGAAATCACTTTATCAGATCTGCTCTTATAAAAATATGGGAAAAATATAAAGATTTTATACTAAAATACCAAAATGGATATCTCCACAAGAAGCAGACCAAAGAAGAGAAACAGCACAAGATATATGGCTAACATACAAAGATATTTTGAAGAAACAAGATAAGGAGTATATAATGAAAACACAGGAGGAATTAAGTATTCTAGACATAAATATATCTTGGTTCCAATATAGGCAGATCAGAGAATACTATATAAAGGACAAAAAGACTGGATTTACAGACAAAGAGACTTTTTGGGACATGATACTGACCTCAGAAAACAAAACAACGAAAATATACAAGAAGTTACTAGAATGGTCAACAGAAACAGAATTAATTAAAGACTTATGGTTAAGTGGGCAGCAAACATTGGACATACAATTAACTTAGAAGATTGGGAGAAAATGTGGAACAAGAAAATGAAACACACATACGCTTTTGATTTAAAATAAAATTGGCTAAAAATGATGTACATCATGCCTCAAAAATTGGCTAAATGCTAACCAAAAACAAATGACAAATGCTGGAAGTGCGAAGAGCAAACCGGCTCTTTCTATCATATGTGGTGGACATGCAGAATTGCCAAATCATATTGGAAGAATATCCATGGAAAAATAGAAAAGATATTAGACATAAAGTTCGAACTAAAACCAGAATATTTCCTTCGAGGAATAATAGACTTCGAAATAGATTTAAACAAAGATAAACTTTTCAATTACCTAGTGACGGGAGCCAGAATATATTACGCAAGATTCTGGAGAACGAAAGAGACTCCATCCCAAGATCAATGGTTAATGAAAATTTTAGATATTATGAATATGGATAAATTAACCCAACGGATGAGCATAAAGCAGAACTCAAAAATATCCAGAACAGAGTGGACACCAATAAAGAATTTTATAATTCAAGAAAACCTGAAATGGTTAATAGACATAAGATAACTTAAACAATAAAAGCTCTTAAGAGAGAATATGGAAAGAAACTGGCCAAACAATCGGGAGAGATCAGATGACTAAATAAAAAAAAAAGAACCTATCTGAGGTGAAGAAAATTGGAAGTCAAACCAACTACCCAACCCAAATCTTAATCACAACCCCTACGACTTTTTTTTTCCCTCTGTCTCTTTTCCTCCTCCTCCTTTTTGGATTCCTAATTTATACTTTCCTATAATATAATTGGTACTTTCTTGTACCGATTATATGTTCCCCCACTTTTACTGTTATCTGAAAATCTTAATAAAATATATTTTTAGAAAAACACTGGGTGAGAGAGCAATGTAATGTATCTGGACAGGGGATCCGAGGGACAAAGTAGGATTTAATTGCACTAACAGGTAAAATAAAGTGCTTCCGAGGGATTATTGTTCATCCAATGTTACTCACATGGAAGGAAAAACCCGTAGCCTGTTCTCCGCGTCTTCAAGTAATGTTGTGTATTTACTGGAATAGATTCAAAAATTAAATTGCTTGCCCAAGTTCTTTGGACTGCAGAATTCAACAATCTATTTCAGTTGTACAGTTCTTAAAATACACTAGACAAGGAAATGTGACTACTGTGACTACTGAGTACGGCAGAGAGAGTAATTATACTACGTAACAAAATTTGAACAGTTTTCTGTTCCCAGTTTGAAAGAATTACTTCCTGTTTAATTGTGCAGAAATTACTTTCAAAGTAGTTATTATACTTCAGAAACTTTGTTTCTGTGGCTGCCACAAACTGTGTTGAATTAGTTGATACTCTATGAGATTGTCATTGAAAATATATAGCAAAATGTGTTGCAGGATGTCCCACCAAAACAAAAATTTTGCAGTTTAATCATCTTTTTCCATATTTTTATGATACAGCCAATTAGGAAATGACATTTATAACCCAGGAACAAAAATAGTGTTACATAGTGTTATATAGAATGAGATGTATACTGCCTTCCAGATTTTCCTGAACTTCCAGCAACAATAACCCAACATAGCCAGTGACAAGACATGATGGGAGTTGTAATATAGCACCTGAAGGCCTGCATGATTTTCACTCCTAGGTCACAAGAATGACCCGTAAAATGTCCAAGCATGTCCAAATGAAGATTGGACGTTCAACATTAAACATCTTAGGAAAAACTGAGAAAAGGAACTGGAGCGACAGCATACAACTCAGAGTTTTGGCACTAACTTTAAACCTTTTCTCCAGAAATGCTAGTCAAACTGAGTTGAAAGCAGAACTGAGGACAGCAAATTTAATTATCTTGGGATCATATAATTTTAACATAAAAATGTTTTTTGGAATAACAGTTTATTCCTAAAAATTGAGATAAAAAAATAAAAATACATTTCCTGCCTAAGTGTAGGTATGTGTATTGGTTATTAGTTTTAACAATGTATTTTAGTATTCTTATATTTAATTCTATGCTTTGGGTTTTAATTTACACATTGTTATGATTGTTTACAGGGCCCCCTGGTGGTGCAGTGGGTTAAACTGCTGAACTGCTGAACTTGCTGACCAAAAGGTTGGTGGTTCGAATCCAGAGAGCAGGGTAAGCTCCCACTGTTAACTCCAGCTTTTGTCAACCTAGCAGTTCGAAAACATGCAAATGGGAGCAGATCAATAGGTACCACTTCTGTGGGAAGGTAATGGTGCTCCATACAGTCATGCCAGTAGAGGCGTGTACTGACAACACTGCTTCTTCAGCTTAGAAATGGGGATGAGCACCCCCACCCCAGGAATCGGATATAACTAATGTCAGGGGAAACCTTTATCTTTATTTATGTTTGTTTAATGTTAGTCACTTTTAGTTTACTTTGGGGGACAAAAAAGCAGGATACAAATACAACTACTGATACACAAATACTATGGAGCGCCCTCAAACGTCTGACACATCAGAGGTTTGAAACTGGGGAGAGTGCGGATGAGCTCTCTCTGTCAGCTCCAGCTCCCCATGCAGGGACAGGAGAGAAGCCTCCCACAAGTATGGTAAAACATCAATACATCCGGGCGTTTCCTGGGCAATGTTCTTGCAGATGGCCAATTCTCTCACACCAGAAGCTGACAAAAAACTACAAATAATAATGATAATAATACTTTAATAATAACAATTACTCTGTCCCCATTCTCCCACTTACAGTACAGGTACAACAGCACTCACTCATCATAATACTCCAATCCCAGGACACCTCTGTTCTTTACAATATGAAATTCCTCTGGCACAAGAGTATCTGCTATATTTGGTGACTAGAAAGAAAACAGAAAAGTTAGGTTCCAAAAGATATTAGAATGGGGTAGACATAAAGCATGTGGAGTTGTTTGGATTTGTTCATTTTATCTTCATCACAGATAGGACCATCACTGTGCATGAAAAAACCTGACACATTGGAGGGTGAACCCTTAAACCACAACCACCCCAGTTACAGCCATGCCCTCCACACTCTAACCACAACCACACAGCCCCCAATGCCACATCAGTGCGAAACCATGGAGTTCAATATAGTTACAGCTCTAGGATAAAAGCTATCTTTCAGTCTGTTTGTCTTTGTCTTTTGAAGTTTCACTGTCATTTTCATCAGACAGAGTCAGCAGAATAATATGTGTAGTAACTGAAATAAAGTGATGGTGTTGTGGTCTTGGCAGTGTCTACATTCTGCTTTGGATGCTACAATAAGTGTGTGTATATGAAAAATGACACAAAGACAAAAATGAAAGTGATATCGAGCCCTTTTTTGGGGGTTCTCCCAGCGAGGGGAGTCCCTGAGGACCGCGAAAGGGGTCCTATACCTTGGTGAGCGGCCAGCGGATGCCAATTCGAAAAGCGCGAAACCGTTGAAAATCAATCTCACCAGAGGCTGAAGAGGAGATCTGCGACCGAAGCGTTTTATTGTGATTCAGCTGAGATCAGATGCATTACAGGGATATTTCCACCATAAGCATACATTCATGGAAGTTACAGGCATTTTTATATTGTCAGAACAAAGGAAAAACAGTTTGAAAATCCCTCCCGCCCTCCGTCAGCTGGCTTCGTCCTGATTGGCTGTCCCTGGAACAGCTGGGAGGAGGCCGGGCCGTATGTCCCGCCTTCCCTCCAATCGCCGGGCGCTGTTGTCTCCAGGGGGCCAATCGGAGCCTTTCTAGCGCTTCTGAGGATGGTCCAATCAGCGACCAGGAGGTGGGACCTGGTTTGACAGCTCATAGGGGGCGGAGTGCCTGGGAGGTGTCCGCCAGCTGATTGAACACCCTTTGTTCTTTGCACGGCAGGGAGGCGGAAGGGGAGACAAGGGATTTCCTGGGTTCCGATAAAAGATGTGTATAGGAGAATAAGGGTGGCTATGGGTGGTGTCTGGATCTCAACCCTGTGGCGAAGGGAGTCCTTTGTCACAGGGGAGCGTACACAAAACACCATGATTGGCTTAATCAGTCTGTTTTTCCGGGCTTTTGGCTGACAGATTTCTGGCTTTTGTTTGTCTGACTCTGAAAACAAAACCACAGATCTGCCAGTATTTGTCCATGCAATGCAAATATGAATGGAGTCTCTTCCAAGGAATTGGATTCCTTTGGCTGTAACCCCAGGTCACATACTCTTTTATAGGGTAAAGTTCAAGAGGGGAGAGGCAAAAGGAAGGGGTTGAGGGTACATCTTATTTCATTACATATTATATATTTCATGCACATATCCTATAACTCGTAGATTTCATATAAAAGATCCCCGTCCCATCCCCATATAGTTTATTAGAAAAGCACAGCAATTGGTAAGGGCAATCAGCAGAGTTCTTGAGGTGTGAGTCTTTTGCAAGGGCACGCACACACACAGGAGGGGGGGGGGCCATTCTCCCCAAGAGGCTTGGTTTTGAGTTCGTGGAGGAAGTTCATGATGATAGGGCATCAAGTCAACAAGTGATGGCAAGAAAGGTCCGCAAAGAGTTTCCAAACGATGAAGTGTGGGGCAATGTCCCTTAGAGAACTGCATCTCCCAGCCGAGACCCGGGAAACTACATTTCCCTGATCAGGGGCCAGGGTCCAGTGCACAAGCCAGAGAATTCACAGAGAGGAAACAGGAACCCAGTTATGTGTGCTGGGTCAGGAAGCAACAGAATCCATCGTCCGGCCCTTGGCGAACTACAAATATTTGGGGGGGGGGGGCTTGGCATCAAATCCTCCCTTCGAGGCTGGAAAATGGCCACACTCATTTTCCCAAGCCTCGACAATCCCCCCCCCCCCCCAAGCACCCAGGGCCTCTTTCTGGACTGATTAGATTGTAGCATGGAGCACTCAGGGGTCCCGAGTGAGTCCCCGATGGAGAAGGTTGGCACATGGTGGAATTCTCCCATCTGGCAGTGGTCCTCAGGCCTCCTGGGGGCGCTGGCTCCTCCCTTGGTACTGAAACAAGGAGAGCAGCCGAAGAAGAAGATGAGGCTCAGCCTTGCTACTCCTCCTGGCGTGGCAATCCAAAAGACGCAAAAATATTAAAAATCAATCTCACCAGGCTGAAGAGAAATCTGCGACCGAGGCGTTTTATTTGCGATTCAGCTGAAAAGGATGCATTACAGGGATGAGTCCTCTATAAGCATACGGTACAGTGATTTTCAGGCATATTTATACAGAAGAAACAAAGAAATCCCGGTTTGAATCTCCCGCCCGCCTCCTGTCAGTTCCCTCTGTCCTGATTGGCCGGCTCCAGAGCAGCTGGGAGGAGGCTGGCCGCTGGTCCCGCCTTCCCTCCAATCGCCGGCCGCTGCCGCCTCCAGGGGGCCAATGAGCGCCCTCGGAGCGCCTCCGGAGATTGTCCAATCAGCGGCCGGGAGGCGGGATGTATTTTGACAGCGTGGAGGGGCGGAATGCCTGGGAGGCGTCCGCCAGCTGATTGAACACCCTTTGTTCTTTGCACGGCAGGGAGGCGGAAGGGGAGACAAGGGATTTCCTGGGTTCCGATAAAAGATGTGTATAGGAAAATAAGGGTGGCTATGGGTGGTGTCTGGATCTCAACCCTGTGGCGAAGGGAGTCCTTTGTCACAGGGGAGCGTACACAAAACACCATGATTGATTTAATCAGTCTGTTTTTCCGGGCTTTTGGCTGACAGGTTTCTGGCTTTTGTTCGTCTGACTCTGAAAACAAGGCCATAGATCTGCCAGTATTTGTCCATGCAATGTAAATATGAATGGAGTCTCTTCCAAGGAAATTGGATTCCCTTAACTGTAATCCCAGGTCACATACTCTTTTATAGGGTAAAGTTCAAGAGGGGAAAAAAGGTGGGGGAAGGGGTCAGGGTACATTTCATAGATTTCATATTATACATTTCATATGCATTTTCCATATATTTCACAAAGGGTTCCCCATCCCAACCCAGCAAAGTTTATTAGAAAACCACAGCAATTGATAAGGGCAATCAGCAGAGTTCTTGAGGTATGATCTTTTTAGCAAGGGCACGCACACACAGGAGGGGGGGGGG